CTGTCCGCATTTCACGTGGCCATTGAACAGCAAAACAATTCGGTTTGTAAATATCTGATCACAAACCAGCTTGCCGAACCCTCATCAAAAGTGATGAAACGAGACGAAAGAAATGCTTTTATGGACACGAATGCGTTAATTGGGGACACGGCGTTCCATATAGCTAGCAGAAACTCTGATACGGACACCTTACACTTGTTGATGGAATATTATTCTGGCTCTGCTGATCGCTTGAGGAAGTGCTTGACAATGACCAATGAAGATGAATGCGACGCTCTGTGGATTCTGCTGGGCCACAATATTGTGATCCCCGACAATCAGCACTTAACGACCCGCAAGCTTTCAAAATTACCATTGATCAAAGCCATCACAGGTAAAACAAATTTTTAATACCATGCATGTTTTAGTAAAAAAAAATGCCATTTTTTGTCACAGATCTACGGTCAGAAAATTCCAGTATAATATCGAGGCTAGAAAGAATGCTCAACACTGGTCCAACACAAGTTATTCAGCGGAGAGATGGATCGTACTTTAAGAAATGTGCAATGCTTATGGAATTCAACGCCGATTTTCAAACTACGCTATTCCAAGATATCGTTGCACATTTATGAGCATGTGATCGTTTGACGCCAAAAAGGCAAGAGGTCACACGACGATTTTCGCTGCCAAAATGGTGCCAATTTTAACCAAGAGCAATGTCATCAGTGTCTATGTTGAACTACTTTAACTTGTTACATATTTTATGATGCTTTTATTTAATTTATTTAGAAAAAAATATATCTGCATACATGCAGTAAAAATACCATTATTAATCAAAATAAGACGTTTAACATAAATAAAAATGGCTTAAAACAGTTAAAACTGATTTCTTGTTATCTGAGTCACAAAAACTTTTCTAATTGCCTAGAACCATTGCAAGGCAAGAAATAAAATTAATTCATTACTCTTGAAATCTTTATAAAGCTATATTCCATTGTCTTATTTAGTCTAGATATTGAAAGTGTTATTTTTTGTTGTTTTAAGATTGAAAGATGTTGCTGAAATTGGTTTAATTTTATTAAAAACATCGTGATATTTTACCAAATAAACTTAAAACGCAGACTTTTCTAGTGGCTATAAATTAAAACTGCAAGGAGAAAAATTAAATCATCGGCTGTTTTATTAGATTTACTGTGTTCTGAAAATAAGAACTTCCAATTAATTCGGTCAGTTGATATTTATTCAATTTTTTTTCCTTTACGTGCAATAATCCTTTTGGTTTTACAAAAATGTATGTGATCTTTTACACTCTTTTGAGTAAATTGAATTTGACGTGCGTATTTACACATTATCCCGTGACGTAAAGCAAGCTGCAGCCCTGCCTACCTGGCACCTTTTCACGGCCAAGACTGCCAAAAACTGGCACCGCCGCTGGTACCAGCGATTACGGCAGACGCACGCAAGCTGGACACTGCTGCTAATTTGCGAGTGGGCTTTTCATTATATGCAAATTTTTCCGCTGTACCGCTATTCGCCCGCACCTCAAAGGGATACAAGCCATGCAATTTAATATTTTCTTTTATCAAGGGCGTGTCAAAATTTGATGAAATTTTAAGTTCTGATATAATAATCCTGTAATTAAAAAGGAAGGATCACGATGAAATAATGCATATAACAAGCATCGACCATGCGAGAGAGAAAACAAAGGTGGTTTTATTTGCCGCTGTCTCAGCGCTAGTAATATATGCCCCGTCCAATAAAAATTTCTTCCATTTCTGAATTCAAAACTAGGAATTGGAGATTTTAATGCCACTTTCAAATAAACGATGAACGCTGCTAAGAATTGTTAAACCTAAAAAGTGTCGATCTCAAATGCTAGAAGTACACCTATCAACTATTTCGTTCTACTGAATTTATTGGTTAATTAATTACTAAAAAGTAACGTTTGAATTCTTTTGTCAGGAAAAGGTGAACTTCAATGAACCTCCTGTTTAAAATCTTGCGATGTTAATTTTGTGATCGCAATTTCAATTTCAGTCTCTGAAACGTGTGGTTTAGGAGTAAAAATAATTACCTTTTAATTTGACAATTCTGTAAAGGTGAATGGATTTTCATCCACAGTCCATCGCCCTTTGCATAGAAATTCAAGATGAAATATATGAACAAAAAATGTTTGAATTTCTGATTAAGCTGGGAATTGCCGCATCTTAGAGAGTAAATAATGCAGAACAAATGACCCTCTAAGACCTCTGAGAGATACTTAAAACTGTTTGCCTTTTCCTTGAGGACTTTTGCCGAAAAATACAAGTCTGCCACTTGCAAAGCAGAAAGCTAGTCAAACAAGAATGGACGAGACAACTTTGAATCTTACACACGCAAATAAAATGTTCAAGCCGCCCACTATCTACAGAAGGATCTTGAAAGTCGCGCGCAAACGTGAAGGTATTACAAGAAATTTCCTCTTTCTATTATCTGATTTTGGCCTGAAAAAATGTGATGCCTTTTATGAAAAAAATTTTCTGTTTTAGACTCAAATAAAAATAAAATCAAATTATCTCTAAATTTTTCAATGTTATTTTCATATAAAAATTAACGACAGAACTGATTTCCAATTAAGGCAACAAAGTTTAATTAGAAATTTTTGGTTTTTTCATTTGCTAAAAATTTGTACAAAATATTTTCAGTTAAAAGGACGTAAGAAAAATTTAAATTCTACAAAAAGTCGTCATGTTTTCAAGAATTAAAAAAAAAATCCCAAAATACTCCTTATATGGTGTTATCTTTTGAGGATTTAGTTTTTCTTTCATGTTATAATTTAAAAAAATAAGAGTGAAACAATCCATCCTCAGAATTATAAAGAGAGGATAAAAATGAAATTAAAACTAACTATGTCAGTGTAGAAATTGTCAGTTATTTTTCTGGAGTGAAAACTCATCTTTGAATAGTTCTGACTATCGAGGAAGAGTTGCGAAGTAATTCCATCACTTTTATTGCGAAAAACGATATTGCGCCGGTCGGGATGATGGCACTCGCACGCCCGCCACTGACTGAGTAAATTTATGCACCACATCCCGCTGCGATTAAAGACAATTACATCAATCGTGTCTCTGCATCTCCTGCGCTTATTTTATTTATTTTTAACAGAAAGATGTTAATTCATGTGACTAAAGTATTGCTGCGGGGTGGATCTCTCTTGGCGGTGATTAACCTGCCAAGCATTGATGAGAGCGTCATCATTAAATAAATGCGGAAAAGTTGAGCAACAATTTTATTAGTACTCGACCACACGCAAAAAAAGATTAAGTTATTCTGAAGTGAAGCTTTTGTTTGATTAGTATTGTGTGTGCATTTCCACCATTAGCAATTCATCAACGATCAACGGTTCAATAAACTTAATTTAAAAACTTAAAATAATTTATTTAAGAATTATTTATGGTTCTTTTAAGATCTTGAAGATATGTATAAAATTGTAATAATGATTAAAAATATTAATTATAATATTGTATTTGTTTTGAATGTTTTTAATACGTCATTAATTAAACTTTTTATTACATTTTTAAGATTTCTTTACTTATAATATTGAAGAAAAAAGAAATTATTTTTTCGATTAAATCCAATTTAATATTTTATTCTACATTCAAAATGTATAAGCGGCAAGGGAAGTAACGTTGGAAACTGCTATAGAACAAATAAATGCTAAACAATGTGTAGAATTAACTTTTGAATAATTAGAAAATTAATGTACAAGAAATACATAATGTGAAGATACTTTACTGTTGTGATTTCAATGAAATGCCAATGAAAAGTTTGATATAATTGTAAATTTCTTACATATAAGTTTCTCATGGGAGATATTATTATGTGAGTACATTCCAATAAGTAATTAAGCTCCAATTATAATTAAAGTTTTGAGTAAAATTTGTATTGGTTAGGCTATTTTCTATTTCGACTAGACGAGGAAAGAAAAATGCCAGAGATAAAATTTCAAGAGCAAGAGACACTCCCTTATAAAATACAAATCTTTTTTCACTTCACCTGCCTGTATCATCAGTTTGCAAATAAATGTCACCGAAATTAGATACGGGCAGGTTGTTAATTTCTTTCCTCGCGTGCAAAGGCCGAGTTAAATCTCATCAATTTATTAGACGCTTCAGAGTTTCGGTTCGGATGGACCCCTTGCTGCGTGATCTAATGCTGCGGCAAAACGAGAGTGTTTTGCAGGAATTCTCGCGATTTTTGCGTAATTTGTCTGCACTTGAACTCGTACTACTGCAAGGTCGATTCAAGGATTCGAGATGCAAACGTTTTACGCTCATTAGCGAGACACTGCTTGATTCGTTCATTAGCCTTTGCAAGTTTTGTTGGAGAAAAATCCTGAGAGAGTGAAAAACTCGCTCTATTTTCCTCGCCGGACGCAGATGGTGGCGGCCCACATTAATCACCTCCACTTTCTGCTTCTTCATCGACTACATTATTTACAATGAGAGCGGAGAGGAAATCAATTCTGTAACAAAATTATAATCAAATTCATTATAAAATGACCTCTATCAATTGTCAATAATGATTTTACCGATTTTACTGTTGTATAATTGTTTTTCTAATTTTGTTATATGAACTGATATGAACAAAAATCGAGATTCTATAACAATCATATTATTTTTGTTGGATTTCAATCTCCTCCAGTATTGATCTATTGATATAAGTTTTTTTTAATTAATTAGAAGAAAATATTTATGCATAAAAAATAATATTACATTTATTTTTTTAATTAATATTATAATAATTTTTTCCGGTATTTATATTAGTTCCTATTTCACATTAACAACACGCACATTACTCCTGTCTCACATTTTTTTTACCAATGACTTTTTCCCATAACAGACCAGGCGCTTTTTGAACAGAACTCCAAAAATTATTTTTTGCAATCTGTCGTTTATTTCGTTATTTAAAGCATAAATCTGAGCCTACATTATTATTTCTCCTCGTGTTCTTCGCGGCCAAACTAAATGGAAATTTCATTCTTAGTTAGTTCTCCTTCCTTACGGCAGATGATGTTTGTGCACCGCAAGAGCTCGCGACCAAAGATCCTTGCTCGCGACCTACGGTAAAAAGAGGGCCGAGCTGTCTGCCTGAGACGCTAAAAGCAACGCTACGGATCATAATAACAACAACTTGTGTGTCATAGTTTTCATTATTTTTAGTTTCTTTTCTAAATAATAATGTGACGACTGCTCAAAGACGATGCGAGAGTAAAAGTTTTTTAAGTGGAATTAGCAGGTACGAAATCAATTTGGCCTAAAATTACAATGCTTGGCGTGAATAATCCCTGCTTGTAATTGTTTGTGATCTGTAGTAATTTATATTTATGCTGCCATGGTATTAAATATTTGATATTTTTTCAATTTAGATTTTCACTTGAAAAAAAAATGATTACCGGATTGTTAATTAAAAAATAATAAAAAAAAAAAATTATAAAAAGTTCAATTAATTTTTCTATAACATGTCATTATGGAGATATTAAAATTATGTCATAAATCATTCCAAAATAGCAAGAAGAGGCGACTTAATATTTCCTCTCTTCTGAAAATCAATATAAAATCTTGTTACAAGTGACAAATACGAATAAATTAAATTTGCAGAAGATTTAAAAATTGCCTCCACGGTGTGGAAAAAGGAACTCAATCTGCACCAAACTGGTAACACAAAGTAATAATAAACTTTGACATGGACCGTCCCAGACGCAGTGGTAAAAATGACTAATATTTCCTAAAGCCATGCAGATTTTAATAAAAGCACTTGGACCTTTCAGGGAGGAGAGGCGTGGAAACATCTTTGAAGACGGATAAAGGTTCAAAAACAAAATGTATTCCTGAAAATAAAGTAGGGACCTTGGGACCAATTTAAGATTTTATATTAATTTCCATAATTTCTATTAGGTATACCGCTTGCGCGTTATAACATTGGATAAATTAACAAAACCTGATGCTGGATCCTCCCGTGAAGAAATTAGTGTAAAACATATTTATAAAATATATAATCATTATAAAAATCATTTTCTGTTTGTTCAATGTACAGGCCAATGCAGGACCAATCAGGAGCAAAAATAACCAGAAAGTAAAACTAGAAGTAGATTCGGAAGAAATTTCTAGTTCTCAATCAACAATGGAAGTAAAAACACTTCAGCGATTCAGTGGCCCTGTTGCATCTGTTCCAATCAGACCAGTTCCTCGACTTCGTCTTAAAAAGTTCACCTGTGAAATTTGCAAAAAAGGCGTGGGCACAAAGGGTGGCTTGAAATACCACATCCAGGCGCATCTTTCGGGCCGACCCTTTAAATGTGAAATTTGCAAAAGGTCGTACGCGACAAAAAATGATTTTGACACTCACAACAAAAGGCACTCTGGTAAAAATGTAAGTTGTGATTTTTGCAACAAGACATTTCCCGTCAAGTCGTACTTGGCTGATCATATTACTTTCACTCATTTGCCCAAAGAATTTGTCTGCCAAATTTGTAAAAGACCTATATCCTTTCATCGAAAATGTCAGTTAGAAAAGCATTTGATTGATTCTCATTCATTTGAAAATAAGTTAAAGTGTAAACTTTGTGGCAGGACATACAAGTCAAAGCAAAACTACGAAAATCATTGTAAACAGAGAGAAATTTTGAAGTACGAATGCAAAGATTGTGGCAAAAAATTTCCCTGTATTAAATTACTGCTAAATCACATTCGGGAGGAAAGCAGAAACGTTGAATGCAAAATTTGTAAGATAAAAGTAAAAAAACTTTACAATCACAATCGAAGTCATCACATGTTTGTAAATTGTGACCTTTGCCCTTTTAATGGAAAGCCGCAGGAGGTGATTTTTCACAAAGCGGAGTGCGGAACTAAAGAGCAAATTGAGACTCTTGGTATATATTGCAATTTGTGCAAATTACATTTCCGAAGTACCATTGACTTAAACCTTCATAAACGACGCGCACATGGAAAATTCAAATGCCCAAGTTGCCCTGAAAAGTTCTTGAAGGAATGCCTTCTTTCAAAACATACTAAAGAAGTTCACGAAAAGCCGTATGCTTGCTTTTCTTGCCCTCGTCCAAAATACTTTTCGAACAAGGTGAATTTTGATAAGCATTTTCTCAGCTCACACAACTTTCCCAACTCAAATAAGATGCATAGAAAAATTGATATTGTGCGATTTGGATGTGAAAAATGTAAAAAGATGATACCAAAAATTAATACAAAAGTATGGCTGAGAAACCACATCATTAAATGTTATGGGATTTGACTCATCCAAGTAATGCTCAATTTGGTTGCTTGTAAAAATATTGGAATAATATTACTTTGTTTCTCACTTAGCTTGCCATCATAAAAAGGGAAATAAAAACATTATAGGAAAGGATTTTATTACCTGACCTGATCAAGATCATTGACGGTATGATAATAGAAAGCTAAAACTGTAAAATCAATCACAAAATAAAGTACTTGTAAATAAGAAATTTAAATTTTATTTTTGTTTCTGATTTTCAAATAAGATTAATTAATTATGATTGAACGATAAGTTATCAACCCTCTTTACATCTCATTTTTTTTAAATACACAAAATTAAGGAATTTTATTTTGTTACGAATATATTATGCAAATAAAAGATAAAATCTTCAGAGAAACATATTTAAAAGTTATATTGACGAAATGCTTTGATCTAAAAGGATGATCACAATATCATAATAATAATATCAAAAACCTTGCCATAAATGCAAATCAGTCGGATTCCCTGCCGTTTGCATATTAAAAATTTGCTTGGTTCCCCAAGTTCAGTCAAGCTTTATTTGTTCCAAAATTGTATGTATTAAATTTATATCTATATTATTTTTTGTATAATTTTTTAAAACTGGCCGTCTAAATTTTTGTGAGTGCGAATATCTTAACACTAACTTAAAACTTGTTTTTGTAAAAAAAAAATAAAACGTTTATATATTGCAAAAATTATAGTGAAAAAAAATTGTCCAATTTGATTGGACTGGGAAACTCTCAAAGATTTATTATAAGCATTTATTTTATAAAATGGACACACAATTCCTAATTCTACAAAAGTTAAATTAGTTTTTAATTTCAATGAAGTAGTTTCGTAACTTTTTATTTTCTTTCAGTGTGTTCCAGTTTCCAGTGTAATAATTTATAGGCTATAGTCTGCTATATATTACATAATAAGAGCAATTTTTATGATTTAAATTTACTTCAAAATTACCACAAAATTGTAATACTTCTTACTCACTCAGCGACTCAATTCCCTTTACTAGCTGCTTTTATTGCTGGTTGAGTTGATGACAGTTTCTCACAAAGCGGCCAGCTGTATTCCCCTCTCACAGTGAGCCTCCATTCAATTTATTCTGTGCCCACTGTAATCCCTATAGGAATTTCTTTTCTTGCTGTTTACAAGTGAGCTAGGCAGGTGAGAAGCAACCGTGCTGCACAAATTTTTCCTGAGCGTGGAGCAGCGGAGTTGTTTGCTGACCACTGTTCAGGACAGTCGTTAGAATGATGAAGGAGCCACTTAAGATGGATTTGGAAGAAAAAATTTGTGCTAATGCTGGTGAGTGTGCAGATTCAGTGATATAGTTAGGCATGCGTCAAAGTACACCTGAAATATTTCCTCATAGTTCAAAATTAGCAAAATTTATTTTTTCAATCTCTGAGCTAGACAGTAAAAAGATCGTGAATAAAAATTTTAAAATATAATGCTCAAGATAAGTCTAAAGGTTATGTTACTCTAATGTACTTTTAAATATTTTTTGCGCACTTAATCCTTCAAAAACGTTAAAAAAGATTTGAAATCAAGTTTTAATAGTGATGAATCTTATTTTCGCTGTCATATTTTTATAAGTAGGAAAAATCAAGGAAAAATTCATTCTTCATTTTTAATACAAATGCACTGCTTTTTGTACCAAAGGAAATATGATGTAAAATTCTACATTAATTTGTAGGGTCGAGAGAGAGCAAATTCCACATCAAGACGGGAAAAAATGCAGAAGTGAATGCTGGTCCTGAAATAAATACCTCAATCAAAAGAGAAAGAACAAAGGTATAATATAATATTATAATTTATTTTCTTTTTAAACCTAATTATGCTGGTTCATGAACTCCCCTGCTTGAAGTTCTTTACGAAGAAAATAGACATTTAAAGAAGCTAGATATATAAATAACTAAATAAAAATACCTATTTCGCACAAAGCCTTCCGTAATTCTTTATTTAACGCGTCAATTAAAATTTTGCAGTTGTTCAAACTTCGCCAAATAAAAGTAGAAAGTGATGACGTCGCTGATTCCAATGCACAGTCGTTGCCGGTGATTTCTCAGAATATTAAATCGGAGCCGATTGAAGACGAAGACGATAGCAAAGTAATAGTTAATATATTCATCTTAATGTATATTGATACTATTAAATTCGTTATGATATTTTTAGCCAAATCAAACAAACATTCAGCATTTTGGTAAATGGAAGCCTGAAAAAAGCGCGATTCTTAAGAAAATCAAGAAAGACTTGGACAACGTCAAGCCATTGGCTGCACCGCTCAAGCGTCTCACCATCAGAATGGCACAACTGGAGCACGGTAAAAAATTCACCTGCGACATTTGCAAAAAAGGGGTGGGGACAAAGGGTGGCTTGAAGTACCACATTCAGGCGCACCTCTTCGGCCGACCCTTTAAATGCAAAATTTGCATGAGGTCGTACGCGACCAAAAACGATTTTGACACGCACAACAAAAGACACTCGGGGAAAAATGTGATTTGCAATTTTTGCCAAAAGCAATTTCCTGTAAAATCTTACTTGGGAGATCACATTTTTATGAAGCATTTGCCTAGAGAATTTGTCTGTCACATCTGCAGCAAGCCCCGCTACTATTTCCGAAAAGCTGAATTGGAAAAACATTTGGCCGTTGCTCATTTTCCTAAAATAAAACTGTCTTGCAAACTTTGCAATAGAAATTATAAATCAAAAGACACATATGATCGGCACTGCGAGGAGAGAAAACTAATGAAACACAAGTGTGCCAAATGTGAGGCAAAATTTCCCTGTCGTTATCTTCTTTTCGCTCACCGGAAAGAAGAGGCGAAAAAACCAGCTCGGCGCGTTGAGTGTCCTTTGTGCGATGAAAACGTCTTCGACTTGGATTATCACCATAGAAAAGTTCATCGTAAAGAAAGTTGCGACATTTGTCCATTCCGTGGAAACGTAATGAGTTTACTGGCCCATAAGAAGGACTGCGGTTCGCAAAAGCAAATTCGCGCACTTGGATTTGGATGCGAACGGTGCGATTTGTTTTTCAGAACTGACTTTTACCTTCAGGAGCACATAAGAAAAACCCACGGCCATATCAAATGTCACAGATGTCCCAAAACATTTATGACTTCTTCATCTTTGAATAATCATACTAGGGACACGCACAATAAAAGGCCTTACGGCTGCGTTCTCTGCCCTGCTTACAAACACTTCAAAACCAGAGATAGTTTTGACGTCCACTTCCGCGCCAGGCATGAATTTCCCAAAAAAATAAGAAATGCATATGGTGCCGAGCACAAAAATCGCTTTGGATGTGACAAATGCAAGCAAGCGAACAAATTTGGAAGCAAATTGGAATTTATTAAGCACATCAATAGCTGTTATAATGCGTTGAAAAAAATTTCAATTGCTAAATAATATGTATTTCACGTTCTCTGGCATTCAAAGAAAAATTTTGTTTTGCAGTATTTGGTTACAATTAGTGCCGCAGAAACACATTAAATTGTAAAAATTTCAATTTGTTAATAATAAATAAAATATTACTAGAACAAAAACAGATTTGAACATTATCTTGCCATTTATTTTTACAAAATATTAATTCATTGGATTTGTACCACATTCAACTGGAATTGAAAAATATTCACGTTATTAAGTTTATAAAAGAAAATTTTTGAAGATGCTGAGTAAAATTTTTATTATATATTATATTTTGCATAAGGCATAATTATTGTAATGTGTTTTTAAAAAAAAATTATTTTGATTAAATTAAACTGCTGATGTCTATCACTTTAATTCCTATGGTTGTATTTTTGGTGAGTTCGTTATGGGGAAAAGTTGCTTTGCATCAAAACCTATGAAATCATTAATTATTGCATTTTATTTGTTTTGTTGAGTTAAAGAAAAAAAATAATAGAACTTATTCTTTCTTGAATTATTGATTTTAAAAATTTCAGTCTTTTTTGCAACGATCAGAAAAAATTATTGGAGGTATTAAAAAGCACAATCTGTTAATTTGCTGGCAACTGGAATAAGCAACTGATAATATTCATCGAGATGAAAGTAAAATATTGTGTTGGCGAAAAATTTCTTTATTTGTTTAGCAGCATAAAAAAGAAAAAAAGTTAAATTAGCAAATGTTAATTTATTTAGCTTTTATAATAAATATGAAATAAATTTTATATGATTTAAAAAAAATTTGTTCTGGATGTTTTCTATTTTGATTTACTTGTCAAGTGATTCACTTGTGAAGTATGAAATAATATTAGTTAATAATAAAAATAAATAAAAAAATATAAAAAAATACCAAAAAATATGTTTCTTTTTAACTGTAACTTTTCACCATTAAAATTTGCTGTGGTAATGTTATGTTTTATGTTAAATAATTATGTTGGTGCTTGTCAGGCCAGGCGCTATTTGAATAGAACACCAAAAATTTTTATTTGCAAAGCATAAATCTAGACCTACTTTTTATCTCTCCTCGTGTTCTTCGCGGCCAAAATAAATGGAAATTCCATTCTTAGTTCTCCATCCTTACAGCAGATGATGTTTGCGTGCTGCAAGATCATGAAGGTATTTTTATAATACCTTTGCCCAAGGAGCCTTTGCCTTTATGGATAAAATAATGAGGGCCGAGCCCAAGGCCGAGACGCTAAAAGCGAGACGCGACGGATCATAATAACAAAACTACTTTTGTGTCATATTTTAAATTATTTTTAGTTTCTTTTCTACATAATTTTGTGAAGACTGGTGACGATGTTGTGAGTAAGTTTTTTTATTGAAGGGAAGTAGAATTAGCAGGCACCAAATCAATATGCCCTGAAATTAAGATACCTTGGCTTGAATACTCCATGCTTTGTAATTTTTTTTTCGATCTTTGATCATAAATGCTGCCGTATTAAATATTTTATATTTTTTAACAATAATTTTTCAAATTTTTAAAACACCAGTAATTTCCAATTTGTTATTAAAGTAACAACTAGAATAAATATATATTTTTTTCATGTCAAAAAAGATCAATTAATTTTTCCAAATCACCACAGGGATATTAAGACATAAAGCAGCACCATAAGAGCTGAAAGAGGCAACTTAATATTTCTCCTCTCTCTGAAATCAATTAAAAATCAAGTTCAAATCATGATATTTTGTTTTACAAATTGCATATTATTTAATTTTCAGATGTAAAAATTGCCTCCACAGTGTTGAAAAAGAAAATTAATCTGCACCAAACTGGTAACACAAAGTAATATTAAACTTTGACATGGACCGTCCCAGACGCAGCGGTAAAATTGGCTAATATTTTTTTAAGGCCATGCAGATTTTAATAAAAGCTTTCAAACCTTTCAGGAAGAGGCGTGGAAAAATCTTTGAAGACAGAAAAAGATTTAAAAACAGAATTTATTCCTGTGAATAAAGTAAGGACCTTGGGATATTTAAGATTATATTATAATTTCGATATTTTCTATTAGGTATTTCGCATGCGTGTTATAAAATCGGATAAATTAACAAAGCCTGATTGTGATGGAAATCGTGCTGGATCCCCCGGAGAAGGAAAGAGTGTAAAACATATTTCGGCGAAAATATTTGAAAGGTGTATACTTTTGGCAGGGTCAACCGATCTTAACCATATTCTAGGACCTTAAAGACCATGCCAGGAGGTTTTCAAAAATATATAGTTTTACCCCGTTATCTCGAAATTTATGGGTTTTACGGGACATTCAAATTTGGATTTTGGAAATTTTCAATCAACTGTATCTTGGCTTCCCGTGGTTGTAGAACAAAATTCTGGATATGGTTGAATTCGTCTTGTTGCCCTCTACAACTTTGCTGTTCATTGCAAAATCGTAGGTCAAAGTTCAAGGTCACTTCCGGTGACCTCGTGACCTTTGACCTCAAAAATGAAGTTTATCCCCCAATTTTATTTTTATTCTGAAATAGCCATTTTGTAGAGCGTAAAATTTTACGTTATAAAAGAAAATAAACCAGATGGCGTTTTTTGATATTAAATTAATAAAAAAATAAAAAGATTAAAAAACGTGGTTTTCCGAGCAAATTTTCTGGTAAAATGTCTTTGAGCCTCTGCAACTTTGTCCCTGAGCAAGATGGCCCAAAGTACCTAATGACAAAAAGTAATTTTCTTGAGACGGTCTATCCAAAAATGTATTACACATTGTGACCAGGTCACAAAAGGTCTTTGACCCTGGTGACCTTTGACCTTACCATATTTTTTCCATCTTGTGTGACACATGGTTCGAAAGAAGACATTGAGGCGGTCATTTTGGTACCCGGAAGTTTGCTGTAGCTCCAACAAAACTCGAGTTATTGACGTTTTTAGTTATTTCATCTTACAATTTTCACAATTTTAATTAGTTAAAACGTCAATAATTCGAGTTTTGTTGGAGCTACAGCAAACTTCCGGGTACCAAAATGACCGCCTCAATGTCTTCTTTCGAACCATGTGTCACACAAGATGGAAAAAATATGGTAAGGTCAAAGGTCACCGGGGTCAATGACCTTTTGTGACCTGGTCACAATGTGTAATACATTTTTGGATAGACCGTCTCAAGACAATTACTTTTTGTTATTAGGTACTTTGGGCCATCTTGCTCAGGGACAAAGTTGCAGAGGCTCAAAGACATTTTACCAGAAAATTTGCTCGGAAAACCACGTTTTTTAATCTTTTTATTTTTTTATTAATTTAATATCAAAAAACGCCATCTGGTTTATTTTCTTTTATAACGTAAAATTTTACGCTCTACAAAATGGCTATTTCAGAATAAAAATAAAATTGGGGGATAAACTTCATTTTTGAGGTCAAAGGTCACGAGGTCACCGGAAGTGACCTTGAACTTTGACCTACGATTTTGCAATGAACAGCAAAGTTGTAGAGGGCAACAAGACGAATTCAACCATATCCAGAATTTTGTTCTACAACCACGGGAAGCCAAGATACAGTTGATTGAAAATTTCCAAAATCCAAATTTGAATGTCCCGTAAAACCCATAAATTTCGAGATAACGGGGTAAAACTATATATTTTTGAAAACCTCCTGGCATGGTCTTTAAGGTCCTAGAATATGGTTAAGATCGGTTGACCCTGCCAAAAGTATACACCTTTCAAATATTTTCGCCGATTTATAAATTAAAAGTATAATCATTATAAAACTCATATTCTATTTGTTCAATGTACAGGCCCATGCAGAGCCAATTGGGAGAACAAATGACAAGACCGTAAAACTAGAAATTAAATCGGAAGAAATTTTAAGTCCTCAACCAGCAACATCATCAAAAGAAGTCAAAACACTTCAGCGATTCAGTGGCCCTGTTGTATCTGTGCCCATCAGACCAGTTCCTCGGCTTTGTCTTAAAAATTTCACCTGTGAAATTTGCAAAAAAGGAGTGGGCACAAAGGGTGGCTTGAAATACCACATCCAGGCGCATCTTTCTGGCCGACCCTTCAAATGTGAAATTTGCAAAAGATCGTACGCGACGAAAAATGATTTTGACACTCACAACAAAAGGCACTTAGGTAAAAATGTTAGTTGTGATTTTTGCAACAAGACATTTCCCGTCAAGTCGTACTTGGCTGATCATATTACTTTCACTCATTTGCCCAAAGAATTTGTCTGCCAAATTTGTAAAAGACCTATATCCTTTCATCGAAAATGTCAGTTAGAAAAGCATTTGAATTATATGCATTCATTTGAAAATATGTTGAGGTGCAAACTTTGTAGCAGGACATTCAAGTCAAAGCAACACTACGAAAATCATTGTAAACAGAGAGAAATTTTGAAGTACGAATGCAAAAAGTGTGGCAAAAAATTTCCCTGTTTTAAATTACTACTAAATCACCTTCGGGAGGAAAGCAGAAACGCTGAATGCAAAATTTGTAAGATGAAAGTAAAAAACCTTTACAAACACAATCGAAGGCATCACATATTTGTAAATTGTGACCTTTGCCCTTTTAATGGAAAGCCGCAGGATGTGATTTTTCACAAAGCGGGGTGTGGAACTAAAGAGCAAATCGAGGGTCTTGGAATATTTTGCGATTTGTGCAAAATGCATTTCCGAAGTGCATATGACCTAAACCTTCACAAACGACGCATACATGGGAAATTCAAATGTCCAAAGTGTCCTGAAAAGTTCTTGAACAAATGCCTTCTCTTAAAACATACAAAAGATGTTCACACAAGGCCTTATGTTTGCGTTTCTTGTCCTCGCCCAAAGTTCTTTTCAAACAGGAATTATTTTGATACGCATTTTTACCGTCATCACAAATTTCCCATGAAAAATGTTATCCCTAAAACTGTTAATAAGGTTCGATTTGGATGTGAAAGGTGTCAAAAGATTATTACAAAAATTGATACAATGAATGGGCTGAGAAACCACATCATTAGGTGCTATAGAATAAGGCGCAGGCAAGTTAATTCATGATTTGGTTGGTGTGTAAAATATATATTTTTTTTTTAATTATGACTTTGTTTCTCACATAGCTCTTGACGGTAATTATAACAGGAGTAAAATATTTGTAATTTTTTTTTAAGCTGATCAAATAGCTGTCTTCGAAAACCTAACCTCCTCTAATGCATCTTTTCAAACTCTCTCATTTTGAGTCTTGTATTGTTGATTTCTTGGGAAAACTTAAATTGTTGATTTTGTTAGACTTACATTATTTGATTTGCATTTTTCTCTTTATCGATATCTAATAAATAACAATTAGAAAGGGATTATAATTTTACATGGTGGAGATTATAAAGAACAATCTACTGGCCACATGCAACTGATAATAGTTAATAGTGATAATTTGCAAAGATGAAACTAAAATTATTCTAAAATATTTATGTGGAAAATATCCTTTTTGTGAATATTGCATAACAAAAGAATAAAAGTTATTTCAAGTCAGTTTTTTTTAAATGGTAAAATAAATCATTTTGTTGTCTCTAATTTCTTTTCTTTGTCATTTCTTGAGAATTTAAAACCCAAAGAAACCACTCAGAAGGGGAAATAATTATATTTTAGTAACTTTTTACTAAACGTGGAATAACGTTCCAAGACACGAGATACTGACAATGAGACGAAACCAGTGTAATAAAGTTTGAAAAATTCCTGTTGTGATAATAAAAATATATTAATTAGGGCGAATTTCCCAAAATTAACACTTTTTAAAACCACCCCAATCTGTTGGTGTTGGTATGTGTTTTGTGCTGGACAGCTCTTTTGGCTATTGAAGCTTCATCAGCAGCACTTTGCCTAGCAAAACAAGTTCCGTAGAATGTGACATTTACTTTGTGAAGAAAAGGAAGAAACGAGGGGGTGATTTGCTGGTGAAGGCCGCGAGCTCTCTCTTTTTTGTCCTCTGCAGGTTGCCAAGAGGCAGCTCGTATTTGTGCGCCAAGCAAAGCAACATCTCCTCGCAGCTCGCTCGCTGTGGGTGGAATATGCTTGGCAAAGTGCTGCTGATGAAGCTTCAATAGCCGAAACACCTCTCCAGCACAAAACACATACGGGCAGATTCGGGTGGTTGTAAAAAGTCTTAATTTTGGGAAGTTTTCGCCCTCAATTAATATTTTTATCACAACAGGAATTTTTCAAACTTTTTTACACTGGTTTTGTCTCAGTATCTCGCGTCGAACATTATAATTCCACTTTAAAGGCGTTTAGTCAAAAGTTACTAATTTAATCTCCTTGTCAAGTGAAGAATCAATTAATATTAATAAGGTTTCCATTAAATACAGAAATAAAAGAAAAAATTACATAAATTTATGCTCTTTCGTTTTTTTTTTTTTTTTTTTTTTTTTTTTTTTTTAATACAATTTTCTGAGAGCTACATTATTATTAATAAAAACATAAATTTTGCATTATTTTTAATTAAAAATTATTATTCTAAATTATTGCTCATTCTTTTTAAAGCTTTAAGAAATCTGTTTATTTGTTAGTGTGAATGTGTGTTTGTTGCAATTTTTTACTGTATATTAAGTCGTGATTGTTACTATCTGGATGCAGGACCCAATTTGACAAGGCATGAAGCACAGGCTGGTTTGGTCCGCGGTATTCTCCACTATTATGCGACAACCATGTGCGCGCCACATGCGTTTTTCTTTAGTTTTGCTGCGTCATATGAAATTTTCAAAAGGAAGTCTTTTACCGCCTTTCACCAATCTTATACATTTTAGGCTAAAAAAACTTTTTTGTCAGTTGCTCCTTAGCCTTTGAACCAGATTAAAGTGTTACCATAAATGTACGTGAAGAAAAAATTATCAGGTGATTGTATTTAATTAAGCCTCTTCTCATTATTCAAAATTAGTATTATTATTTTTTAACATATTGCTTACATTTGGTTTCATTTTAAATTCTATTCAAGCCATTTTAATTTTGAATAAATTACAATATTTAGTTGCACAGCTGTTTTTTTATTGCTATTTAAAAATATATGTTTCTCAATGATTTATAATGTCTGGAAAATGTTAATTAGCACCTTGACTCAGTCAGTGATGGTGCTAAATGCTACATCACCCGTCGAGAAGCCGAGCCAGACAAGGAATTGGATTTCGACTCTAGCGAAGCGGCTTATAATTTCATTATAATTATTCGTTGCGACTCATCACCATGTTAACATGAATTTTATTTTGTGTTTTAAATAATTTAGTGAACAATTAATCACTTCTTTTCTTCAATTTGGCACAAAGTGAAAGTAAGTCGCTATTTAATTTGTGTGTATATCCTACAAGTCTCACAATTAATATCCTTAAAATTATTATCATTTTTATTTTAATAACTGACTAAATACCATTCTAGCCCCTCGGGATATAGGTGATAAAAAATATTTTATTCTTCGTGAATAAATTAACCCTTTTGGAGCTTGAATGCTATTAAATTTAATGTTTTTACACCTCTATTCTTTTAAATATTAAAAAAAAAATATATTTTTGGTAGAATTTCACAATGGAGGGTTGATTCATGGTAGTTTGAATTTAAAATCGGCTATACCTCGGTGGGTTTTGAGAGTTGTTTATTGTTTTTAAAGCATCATTTTGTTATAGTCTTTTCTGTTCAATTTGCGTAGAATAAAAAAATATGTACACAATCCTTTTGCAGAATGTCTGTTGATGTGAAGGAAGAGATGATGAGAGAGATTTTGTCTGAAGAAAACAAATTTTCCAGACGAATAGGAAAAGTAAGTTTGCTATAAATTTAATTCATAAATTTTTCGCACAATTTACCATCAGCCGCTATACTATTGGATAATTTTATCAATTCTAGAAATTTTACGTGCGAAAAATAAAATTGGAGAAAAATGCTGATGCTAAAAGTAATTTACCCACCCAATCATGTATCAAACAAGAGCCAACCGTACAGCTTGACAACGATTGTATAAACCAACCTGATAAGGTACAGTTTTATTGTTGATTTATACGGCGTTAATTTTTTAGCATAATTTTGATATTTCAGCTCATCGCCTTACAAAAAAATCTTTTGAGAAAAAGAAAATCAAAGCAAGAATACGAAGACGTCAAACCCTTTTGTGGCAAGCCAAAATTCCTGAATGTCAGACCAATTTCCCAAGAGAGCAGTAAAAAGTTCACCTGCAACATTTGCAAAAAAGGGGTGGGAACGAAGGGTGGTTTGAAGTACCACATCCAGGCGCACCTCTACGGCCGACCCTTTAAATGCAAAATTTGCAAAAGGTCGTACGCGACAAAGAACGATTTTGACACGCACAACAAAAGACACTCGGGGAAAAATGTGATTTGCAATTTTTGCCAAAAGCAATTTCCTGTGAAATCGTATTTAGCCGATCACATTGCGATGAGACATTTGCCACCTGCAAGTGGTCTGCGCTGTCACCTTTGTACGCAGCCCCGCTTTTTTATTCGAAAAACACATTTGGAAATGCACGTGGTAGCAGCTCACAACACAATAGAAACGTTCTCTTGCAAACTTTGCAATGCAAAATATAAAAATTTGTTTAATTACCAAAAACACTGCTCAAGGCGCATTGAAATGAATTACAAGTGCAACAGATGTGACGAGAAATTTCCGTGTTGGAATCTTCTTCTCGCGCATAGAAAAGAGGAGGCGAAAAATGGCCTGGAGTGCCCAAAGTGCATGGAAAGGGTGAAAAATCTAGCGGAACACAACAACGCCAGACACGCAATAAAAAATTGTGATATTTGCTCCTTTGCGGCATCACCACAACGCTTGAATAGCCACAAAATGAAGTGTGGAACTGAGGAGCAAATTCGAGCTCTGGGATTCAAATGCGATTTGTGCAATTTATATTTCAGAAACAGTCACAACGTGGCTCGGCACACAAATAAAGATCACGGGACACTTGAATGCCCGGAATGTCCAAGGAAATTTTTAAAAAAAAGTTTTATGCACACGCACATTGCACAGGCTCACAGAAGTAATAAAAACACGAGACCATGATAAGCGCATAATAAGCTTATAAATGGGTGCATAATATGCACCAAAATATATATCTTGCTTTTTTAACCAATGGTTTTAATGCACTTTTCTTCATTAATTTCATTATTTTAACAATTTTTTCTGACAATGTAATAATATAGTTTTCTTCTGGTTTTCTTCAATTAATTTGTGGAAGATATTTTATTTTTCAAATTATATTCTATTAAGGTCTAGGCCATGAAAGACAGGGTCTTGTCTTTTTTCGCCTTTTATATAGCTGTTGTAAATACCCAATTTTGTTTTTCATTAATAATCTTAATTAAAATTAAATATAATAATTTAAATTATCCATTTTGAATGCTACACTTAAAGCGCCAAGTGGTTTCTGCTAATGATTGTTCGCCACAATAAATATTTGATTTGAAAATATCGATCAGTCTTTTTATTTATCGCGAATTGAGCTGGCTTATATTTTTAAATGCTAAATTTGTTTCGACCCAAAAAATGAAATCAAACAAAAATAATTTAAATGCTTAGTCAAATTCTAGCAACAGTGTTGACATACTTGTGAGACTTAAAAGAGCATTCACATATGCGTGGCTACTTTTTATGCCATATGTTGCAGGCAAAAAATATGCATGGTGTCATTTATCGCCTGCGAAGAGTCCTCCCACATATATTTATAGACGACTTCCTTTTGCTGAAGTGAATCATTGTTTCACTATCATTCGACTGTGGAGGTTGTGTTGCAAGCTCGAGCTGAAAAATTTAGTATTTATTTTTATTTTTTTGTAGTAAAGAATAATCATGAATAATTAAATTTTCATTTCACTTTAGATAATTTTATTGCGTTCTGTAAAAATGGAGATTGCTGGTTATGAAAATGAGTCAAGGAATGAAATTTTGATTGACTGCCAAAAGATCAAAAGAGAACGAGTTGAAAGTGATGGTGCCGAAGATGATTCAGTAAGTCAAATTAAGATAATTACGTAATTAAAAAAAAAACAACCACACTCCTGATAGAAAATTAAAATGAATTAAATAATTTCAGTCCACGAACGCAATTCAGAGCGTCAAAGTGGAGAAAATTAAAAAAGTCTTCAGAATAAGAGTCCAAATGAAGGAAGAGTTAGACGGAAAATATGTTTTAAAGCCATTCACTGATCCCATCACAACTCTAAAAATCCAGCCTGCTCCTTTGGATCACGCTAAAAAGTTCACCTGCGACATTTGCAAAAAAGGGGTGGGGACGAAGGGTGGTTTGAAGTACCACATCCAAGTGCACCTCTTCGGCCGACCCTTTAAATGCGACATTTGCAAAAGGTCTTACGCGACCAAAAACGATTTTGACACGCACAACAAAAGACACTCGGGGAAAAATGTAATTTGCAATTATTGCCAAAAGAATTTCCTGTAAAATCGTATCTAGCTGATCACATTGTTTTGAGACATTTGCCATCAGCTTGTGCCCAGCGCTGTATGATATGTACTAAACCTCGCTATTTTTGTAGAAAAATTCTTTTGGAATCGCACATGAAAGAAGTTCACAACACGCATGGCAGTTTATTATGCAAACTGTGTAACAAAGAGTACAAAAGTTTCCATTCTTTCAAGAAGCACTGTAAGGAGCGTGTTGGAATGAAATACGAGTGCAAAAGGTGTGACAAGAAATTTCCTTGCCGGGACCTTCTTTTGTCCCATATGAGAAAGGAGACGAGAAATCCATTAGGAATCGAGTGTCCGATTTGCATGAAAAAAGCTAAAGATTTAGTGGAACACACTACCTCACATCATACCAAAAGAAAATGTGACATTTGCTCTTTTGAAGGATCAATGTACGACCTTAGAAATCACAAAAGGTTTTGCGGAACTGATGAACAAATTCGCGCTCTGGACTTGGAATGCAAATTTTGTAATTCATTTTTCAGAACCACTTACCATTTAGTCCTTCACATGAATGACAATCACGGGCCATTCAAATGCCCTAATTGCTCTAGGAAATTTGTGACAAATGATAAGTTAAAGTGCCACTTTAACAATACTCATAGAAGAAACTGTCCTAGAATCTACACTTGTTTATTTTGCGTCCGATATAACAGCTTTTCGAAAAGAGACACATTTAATCGGCACTTTTACAATCATCACGAATTTCCTGTCTCGGTGTCTTCGAAAAAATATGTGGGAGAGAAATTGCGATTTGGTTGTGAGAAGTGCAAAAAAGCTCTTTTCCACGTAATGAGCAAAAGCCGTCTCATTAAACACATTAAAAAGTGTTATGACATTGTTAATTAGGCCCCCCTTGGATGCTTTAATTGTTATATGATGGATAAATGATTTTGTTGTTGCAAAACGTATTGTTAATAGCAAACTTTAAAGTCTAGTTTGAATGAGAAATTGAGAACCTAAAACGTGTGTATACTCCTTATAAAATTATTGTTTAGTTTTTTGTTATGATAAACTTGTGAAAATTCAATGTTTAATTAATTAATCTTAAAACTGCTTTTTATTTGGTGTGTTAGTGTGTCAATAAAAACAACACATTTCTATATATTTTCAGTTTTTTTCCTCTTAAGTGACAAATATCAAGCCTTTCTTTGAAAATGTTTCACGAAAAATTGTTTCTTAAAATGTTCACCCTGTGCGTCGTCGCGAGTTTGCCAGCGGCTATTTGCAATACGATTTCTATTTTATCCACTGCATTTTTTGTGAGAGGGGCGCGCAGGAACGCATTGTGAAGATGTCAGGCTGGAGCCTTTTGGCCTCAAACGATAACAATAAAACCCAAAGTGTGGAATTCCTCACTGGTCTGGATACAAAATATACCTGTAGAGTGCTAAAAAAAAAGGCAGTCAGTCAGTTGCTGCTTGGCCTGGAGGATGAGGGGCGCTCGAAAGAGCCGGCGTGCGGAGCAAGGCGCAAAAAATCCAGGTGAGATTTTAATTGAACTAGGAATTTTTGATCTGAAACGTTTTAAAATACCTTCGCAATTAAGTAATAAATTGTGGAAATTGCTTATAAAGAGCGCTCTATCAATTCCGAGAGCAAAGCTGAAAAGCTAAAACGCCTCATTAAAGGCCAAACTGTAAGTAGAAAGAAGGTGGGAAAACTTTATCTCTTAACCACTTTATTTTTTTTCATCATTTAATAGATTATTTAATACTAGTTAGGTTGATATAAAATTTTACCCATAAAAAATCTCATAGAGAGTTGAGAGTTGATCGTTTTTTCTTCTTATATTTTGATTTGTATTAAAATATAGTCTGGTTAATAATTTCGAATATTTCTACACATACGCACTTAATGTGAAATTTTAAAATGAATAATAATTTGAATGCCTTTCAAAATATTTTACTTTGTTTTAAATGATTCTTTGTTGCTAAATTTTTAAATTTAAGCATATTTTTAGGAAACTAACAAGCATGGTCCCAGTTGTGTGGTAACTGTTAAACACCGATTAAAAATTGATTAACAATTTTTGATTAAATTTTCGATTGAATTTTAACAATTTTTTTTTAATTGATAATGGGTTATTTAAAAGAAAAATATAAAATTAGAAATTTTATATTTATTTATTATTAATATGCTCATAACGGCACAGGCCGATAAGACTGTCTTGGCCCGATAAAAATTAAACTCTTAGGATTTAATTAATAAGTGAATTTGTTAATGAAATGGATATGAATTTTTCAGACTCACTTTCAGCAGCAAGCTCAGCTGTGAAGATAGAGGTGTCACATGGGAATTTGCACGGGGAAAATGCTTTCAAGGGAATGCGAAAAGTTAGTATAAGAAAAATCTCAAAATAAAGAGCTTAAAAATCAATTATTTAATTCTAGAGTTTTCGATTGCGAAAAATAAAATTGGAAAACAAGGAAGAGGTGGAGGAAAATGAGTTGCCATTCCAAGTTTTAAACATCAAACAGGAGCCAATGGACACCGACGAACAAAGACCAACGGTAAATGAATATTCACGACAAATTTTATTTTATTTTTCTTAACTAAATTTAATTTTTTTTTGTAGCCTGGCACTTCTAAATTAAATTTGCCTGTAAGGGAAAGACAAAGGAAGCAGGAATTAGAGGATTTGAAACCCTTTAGTGGCCAACCGAGGGTCCTCCACATCAGACCAACACCCCTGCAGCAGCTGGGTAAAAAGTTCACCTGTGACATTTGCCAAAAGGGGGTGGGGACGAAGGGTGGCTTGAAGTACCACATCCAGGCGCATCTCTTTGGCCGACCATTTAAATGCGACATTTGCAAAAGGTCGTACGCGACCAAAAACGATTTTGACACGCACAACAAAAGACACTTGGGAACAAACCTTTACTGTAATTTTTGCCACAAGTCTTTCCCTGTCAAGTCATACTTGGCCGATCACATTGCCTGTAACCATTTACCAAGAGAGTACACTTGTAATTTGTGTAGGCGACCCTGGAAATTTCTACGTAAAAATGAATTAGAAACTCACCTTTTATTTCATACCAATTCCAAATTGACCTGCAAACTTTGCAAAATGGTGTTTAAACGTCAAATAACCTATTCAAAACACTGCAAGGAAAGAGAGAAAATGAAACATGAGTGTAAAGAATGCAAGAAAAAATTTCCATGCCGAAATCTTCTGCTTGCTCATGTACGTGAGAAGAAGATAATTCCAATGAACACTGAATGCCCTGATTGCAAGATTAAGGTAAAAAATCTGACACGGCACAACTTAAATTATCACAAGATAGACAAATGCGACATTTGCTCTTTCAGTGGGGGGAAATATTATATGTACACTCACAAACTGAAGTGCGGAACAGAAGAACAAATTCGCGCTCTGGGATTTCAGTGCAAAGTATGTAATTCGTTTTTCCGAACAAATCATATCCTAAATATGCATATCAGTAGAGCACACGGAACAATTAAATGTCCTAAGTGCCCAAGGAAATTCATCTCCAAGAAAGCACTAATCAGTCACAACAATCAGTGCCACACAAATGCTAGAGAAATGCCCTTCGCTTGCCTTGCATGCCCAAATACTAAGCTCTTTTCAAACAGGGACTTTTTTAATGCCCATTTCTTTCACACACACCAATATCCTCACCATATTAAAAGACGGGATGGAATTGTACTATTTGCTTGTGGAAGTTGCCGTCGGTGCTTTCGAAAGATAAGGAAGAGTGATTTTGTTCAACACATAAAACTGTGCTACAAATTAATGTAAATTTTGGTAATTATATTAAAAAAAATTATCTCAATCTGTTCATAAGGGTCAGGCTGTTTTCAAATTTTCAACTATTATTGTGTATATGTGTATGTAATAGAGTTTTTCAATTTTATCTGCATTTGGATGATAAAATTGAATGGAAGCAATTGTTTGTGCTGAATTTATAAATAAATTAAATAATTAATTAATGTAAGATTGTTTTTGTATCTATCAATGCATCTTACTTTGGAATAAATAAATAAACATCGCTTTAGAAATTAAATTGTGTCAAATTATTTTAAATATTTTTATACATTATCCTCTATACTTTCCTTCAGGGTCGTCAAGCCCTGGTACGACTTTGTTCTCAAAGACTGCCCCGCCCTGTGCAAGCAGTATTTGTGGCAGCAATTTTAATATTTTGTGATTGTTCTTTTTTTCGACAGAAAGGGTTCACCGCGGCGGCCGCGTCTCCTTTGAAATCGGGTGTTTTAGCATACCTCGTCTGCTAGTTACAGTATTCTTTCTGCTCAATTTTCAAGTTACTCAATTTTTTTAATGATTCAAGTAGAATAAAAATAATTATTTATTTAATTTTAACAATCTCCATTCAATTAAGATAATTTTAAACCTATGAAATATTTAAATTATCTTTTATTGCCGTGTAAATAGAGTAGATGTCGAGAAACAAAATTTACCAAAATATTTATCGCAGCGCTATTAAAATTTTATTTTACAAATAATGGTGCGGTCCCAATGTCGTTTTTAGCCTGCCAACTGTCACTTTTGCTGCGAAGCTATCGTTTCATTATACTTTTCATACTTTTTTGTGACGAAAAAGTATCAAGTTCCAAAATAGGTTTCTCTATTGCTAAACGTTCAGCTGAATTTTAAGCAGATTAACTCAAAGCTGAGCGCCCTCTGCACCACACCTGCTGTGTCCTGCTCTCCGCTGGTCACTCCATTCTCAGCCTTGACAATCCGCAGGCAGGGTGGCTTCCTACAATATGCAGCAAGGAATGAATACACGGAGCGCTATAAGTGAGTTTCACAATTATTTTTAACTGATAATTGTTCCATGTTGCAAAATTCCTTTTCAATATGAGAGTTGGAAGACTTGAGATACAAACATTTGAGAATTTAAGGCAAAATTATAATTGGGATTCAAATTTTCTCCTCGTCAAAATTAAAATAGCACATTCTTTATTACATTTAATGCTAGTTTTCTTGGCTCCCAGAGTGGATATCAATGGAAAAAAATAAATAATCAAATTAATATAATTTGAGCTGAAAATTTTCTAAATTTATGGGCTTAAGGCATTTCTAAAAAAATGTTTCTATTTTGATTTTTATTGGTTTCATCAATTTTAATTTACTCGTCATTGTGATAAGTTCATGTGATGTGAAGATTTAAAATATCCATCAATCATTTTACTATCGTCGTTATAGAAGAAAAATCTGCATTGGTTAAATATTTTTATGAAATATTTTTAAATAAAAATAAGGATCAATATAAAATTTGCATTTGTTCAAAATATTTTTTGAATAAAAATTTTATAAATTAATATAAATTTCTAACTCTTAATTTTTTTATTTCACTTACTATAGGGTTGGATGCTACCAACGCCGAAGCTCAAACTCGCCGCAATCGACTTCCCATCATAAAGACGGTAAGCTGTGGATACATTTTTTTTTTCATTTCAACAACAGTTGATTCCATTTCCAATTGATGCAGAATTTAAAGCTGCGTTCTATCAAAGTGGAGAACACATCAGAAGAAATTAAAACGGACTTACTTCCAATTAAGTTAGAGGACATTAAAGCTGAACCACCTGTTCATCATGCAAATGAAGAGGTGGATAATTTTTTTTAATCAATGAAATTTTTAATTTTATCAATCTATCCTTCTTTCAGCTTGCAGGCAGTGCTCAGTCAAGAAGCTGGAAAAGTCAGTTCGGAAGCAAAGGTGAGGAAATGGATAATGCGCTGATAGGAAAACAAGAAGTTCAAGAAGCTAAGCCATTCGTTGGTCCGGTTAAAAATTTAAAAATAAAATCGTTGTCAGAGTTAAAACGCAAAAATTTCACCTGCGAGATTTGCAAAAAAGGGGTGGGAACGAAGGGTGGCTTGAAGTACCACATCCAGGCGCATCTCTTCGGCCGACCCTTTAAATGTGACATTTGCAAAAGGTCGTACGCGACCAAAAACGATTTTGACACGCACAACAAAAGGCACTCAGGGAAAAATGTGATTTGCGATTTGTGCCACAAGCAATTTCCTGTTAAATCTTACCTCGCCGATCATATTGCTTCACAGCATTTGCCTAAAGAATTCACTTGTCTTGTCTGTAGAACACCCAAAACTTTCATGCGCAAATCTTATTTAGAGCAGCATCTTCTTTACTACCACACTAAATTGAGTTGCAAACTTTGCAATAGGGCGTATAAAAGCAAGCAAGCCTACGTTCGGCATTGCAGTGAAAGAGAGAAATTTTTGCACAAATGTGACGAGTGCAATAAAAAGTTTCCATGCCGCGACCTCCTTCTCGCTCACAAAAGGGAAAAGGTAAAAAACCCCTTAGGCATTAAATGCCCAACGTGCGAAAAAAAGGTGAAAAATCTGAATTGTCACAATTTGAATTTTCACACAATTAAAAAGTGTGAAATCTGCTCAATTATAGGTACCAATGTATTTCTGTCAGAACACAAAAAAAAGTGTGGTACGGAGGAGGAAATTCGCGCACTGGGATTTGAGTGCAAAACTTGCAATTTGTTTTTTCGAACAGATTACAAACTTTTTCTGCATCGCAAAGATACTCACGGGCAATTCCAGTGCAAGAGTTGCTTGAAAAAATACTTGAATATGACAGCTCTGAAGAAGCACATCCGAGAAACTCACGGTAAAACACATTATTATTCTTGCACAATTTGTCCAGTTCGGAAATTTTTTGCTAAGAAAGAAACGTTTGCTACTCATTTCCGAGCCAAGCATGAATTTCCGTTCAGGGTCCCAGACATCAAAACATTCCGAAAAAAGTATGCGTGTAACAAGTGCGGCCGCGGCTACATGAAAAATGAAAAACATAAATTCATGTTGGATATCAGAAAATGTTATGGGCTGCTGTCTCTAAATAAACAAAGTAAAAAGTAGCGGGTTGATAATATTTATGAAAAAATTTTATTTGTTTTAATTTTTTAATTTAAATACAGGGATCAGGTGCAAAATTAATTTAGTATAAAATTGTACATCATTTAAAACACATAATATTATGAAAAGGAAAAATTTATTTTGTCATTACTGAATTTCAAAATGTTTTTTCGATTGATTGAGAAGAAGAAAATAACAATAGTATTCAAAATTTAGTTGAACATATGAAGGTTTTATTTATTTTTTTTTTTAGAATGATCCAGGGTGTAAATTAATTTTATGTAAAATGCTGTAAAACATGTTCCAATTATGATGTATTTTACTCTATATAATAAGTAAAATGTATTTACTGTCTAAGTGAAATTATAATTATATGTAACAATAATGTCTCCTTTTATTAAAATAAATACAAATACGGTGAAAATAAATAATGAAATATTCAGTATTGAAAACTTAATATTCTTTTGCCACGTTATTTTTTTTAACAATTTGATCGTTTCGTCAACATGAGTAAGGACTTCCAGCATGTACAAACTAAAATTTCATAATTCCCATATTCTCATTGAAATCAAATTTAATCATATTTTTAATATTTGTACATAAGCTTTTTAACATTTTTTCCAGTTTATGCATTAGCCTACAAAAATATATTTACTCAATATAACTATAACATATTTGAAAACTGACCCTAATTATACTTAGTTAGATCTGATTTTAAAATATATTATTTATTTCTGCTAGAAGCATTTTAACTTTAACATTTGTAATTGATTCGCTATCCTATAAGTCCATTCCTTGGTCCATTCCTTCAGTGCAGGGCAAATCAGCTACCTATACCTCCAGAGTTTATACCTGGCAATATAATAACAAGGGACAGGTACATTTTTTGCTTCTTCTATTTTTAGGGAAAAATGATAAATGTAGAGGGTGTGCAAAGTGAAAGCGCAGCAAAGAGCAAACAAGATTCTTCCAGAGGAGGGGGAGTTTTCTATAAGTTGTTGTTTTCCTTCCCTCGGCTGCTGCCTGCTGCTCTGCCTGCTTTTTCTAATGCTTAAATTCTTTACCTTCTTTAGTGCTTCTCTTCATCTCAAAGTGAAAACGGGACGGTCGCGACGGCCAAAAGCGTCGCTCGAATATTCTCAACATGTGGCTGGGAACTGGCCGAATCAAAACTGCAGCAGGTGAGATTTCCCTTCAATCTAGATTTTAATGCTAAAAAAATTCAAGTTTATCAAAAGGCATCAGGATTTCGCATTAAGAAGGATGCACTTTGCAACCAAGTTGTACTTTTGCTTATTGTTAGGCGTGTTACTATGGTTTTAAAGCGGACTCTTTATATTACAGTAAAAGTGTCCACTATATTTAAAGAAATTTTAATTTCTTATTAAGAGATTCATAGATTCCACTTACCTCTAGAGAAAATAAAAATTTCGTTTTATAAAAACTAATTAAAAGGCATGAATAATAATTTTGTCCCTGCAGAAAATATTTCTTTTTGGTCTTAAATTGTGTATTTTATTCTCGCGTTCATGTGTAAAATCTTTTACTGTTTTATTTCCTACTTTAAGCAAAATGTATTAATGACATAATGTACTTCAATGCACTTAATGAACTCCCATTTTTGTTTCTTGTTGCCAAATATTTCACGAAACCAATAAAATTCCTTTGCAAAACTTAAAAAATCTCATCAAGGAAAGCCAACTTAAAATTCGTCTCTGTATCGTGGCTTTTCTTTATTTTCCCCGTGCGCAATGTATGAAAAATTATACATTTTTTCTTCGAGCTTGTCATATAAACCAAAAATTAAGTCCCTGTTAATTAAATTTACAACTAGTTAGTGTTTTTTAATATCTTTTTAATTATTTTGTACTTGTTTAGTAACAAAATATATTATCAAAATTAATTGTAATATCCAGATCAAAATGCGCTTCGATCAATTTTATCATTCTGTTTTCTGTTGCATGAATTGTACTTTTAATAAAAATAAATATATATCCATTATCTCATGAATATATTCTGATAAAAATTCATAACAGCAGCACTTTTTTTACAGACAGTTTAAATTTTTCAGAACTCCCTACGCTCTCTACAATCAAAAAAGAAGCAGACATATCAAATGCAGAGAATGAGCCAGAAGTCAAAGCTGAACCTGTTAGGATGCAAAAAGTAAGATTTAAATATTAAAATTACTTAAAAAAAAACTCCATAGCCTAATTTTTATATTGTTCAAATTTAGCACTTCAGACTTAATAAAGTTAAAGTGGAAAAAGATGAGAAACCTCAAGAAGCTTTTCTACACAAGATCAAAACGGAAGTCATAGAAGTTGATCCTGATAAAAGGATGTTGAAGGTAATAAATTTGATTGAAAAGATTTCAAAAGTTCGAAATGAAGAGATTGGGCTTTCCCTCAGCAATTGCTTTTTATTCAAAAACAAATGGCTCTACTAGTTTCGGTCATGGTTTCGCGAACCTATTTCACGCCATTTCATGAGCAAGAAAAATACAATAATTCGACGAAAAACATCGCATTTTAACTTAAAATTTAAAAAATTCAAGTACCAATTAAAAAAAAAAATCTGCAAACAAGAAAAAGCCCAATCTTTTCATGTCCCTCTTGGAGTGTCAATTTCTACAAACAAATTTCAAAAGTTATTAAAATTTTTTTTGTGCAGGAGACAACTGAGCCTACAAAACAGGAGCTCAAGCTCAAAGACATCAAACTTTTCACCGGTCCAGTCAAGTTTCTTCCCATCCAGCCTCTTCCTCTTGAGCACGGTAAAAAATTCACCTGTGACATTTGCAAAAAAGGGGTGGGGACAAAGGGTGGTTTGAAGTACCACATTCAGGCGCACCTTGTAGGTCGACCCTTTAAATGTGACATTTGTAAAAGGTCGTACGCGACAAAAAACGATTTTGACACGCACAACAAAAGACATTCAGGGAAAAATGTGATTTGTAATTTTTGCCAAAAACAATTTCCTGTAAAATCTTACTTGGCTGATCACATTCTTCTGAAGCATTTGCCTAGAGAATTGGTCTGTCACATCTGCAGCAAGCCCCGCTACTATTTCCGAAAAACTGAATTGGAAAAGCATTTGACCTATGTTCATTATTCCAAATTAAAATGTAAATTGTGTAATGTGACGTATAAGTCGAAGAAGTTGTTCAATTTACACTGTCAACAGAGATTGTTAATGAAATATGAATGCAAGGTATGTTTGGAAAAATTTCCCTGCAACAAACTTTATGTTGCTCACATGAAAGCCGAGATGAGGAACGTAGAATGTCCAATTTGCAAGAAAATGGTTGCAAAACTGAAATCTCACACCCAGAACATACACATGAAAGTAAAATGTGACATTTGCGATGTTCGTCTTACCGGATCAAAATTGAATCATCACAAAAAGCGATGCGGAACGGAGGAGCAAATTCGCGCTTTGGGTCATCAGTGCAAACTTTGCAGTTTGTTTTTCCGGACAGAGAACATGTTGGTGATCCACACTAATCAAAATCATGGGACTTTTCAGTGTTCGAAATGCCCAAAGAAATTTGAAACAAAAATTAAAAGATATGGTCACTTTCGAAGGTCGCACTGGGGAGGCAAGTTTCCATATACCTGCGTTATTTGTCCCGGCCACAAAAATTTTGCAACCAAAGATCGCTTTATAGTTCATTTTAATCGCTTTCACAAATTCGCTGTATATATCCGAGACCGTAAGAGAATAAAGACTATGAAGTATAGCTGTGATCAGTGTAAACGCTGCTTCCCAGAGAAAAAGAAAGCTGATTTTTTGTGGCATATTGAAAAAGTATGTTACAAACCCATCGTCAAGACAATTCAGACCGTTCAGTGCATCACAATTGATTGATCCTTTTCTTTCCTTAATATTTCTATTCCTTCAAAAATCAAAAACTTTTCGTTAGAATTTTTTTAATGAAATATTCATGAAAACCAAGTTTTTTGGTCCGAGTTTTTGAGCTTTTTGCTGTAATAATTAAAAAAAAATCATATAAATATGATGGCATAATTATTCAGTCATGCAAGTTATAATATTTTATACTTATAAGTTATGAAAATTTGGAGAAAAAACAAAATTAGTTATCCTCTGTAAATCTAAAGATGCACAATATTTTGATTAATTTGGACCTGGTTTTGATGTAAAAATAAAATTTGCAAAAGAAAAAAAAATATACAATTTCTACTTTTAATTCATTAACATAGAATGACCATAATTATTCAACAATCATATCTCATAGAGATATGAGATATAGAGTTTTTAATGACCGTTTGCCAAAAGCCGAAAGATTGATTTCATTTATAGACGTATACAATCCATCCATAACAGTTTTGTTTGCTTAGACTGGAGAGCGGATATATTAAGTTTCGCTGAATTTCTATATGTACTTGTATTTTTGTAATTTTTAATTAATTGATGTTTGCAAAATGAACGTGTTAATTCTCTCATTTTTTTCCATCTCTATTTGATGCTGTCTGACGAAGTGCTAAATTGGCTTAAACTGAGAATGATTTTGATTCAAAATATTTGCTTTGAGAATAAAAAAAATCATGAATTATAATTAATTGATAAGATTGCTTTTATTTTTCCAGTTATACCTTACCCGCCCTTGTTTGCAGAGAATTTGACAGACGTAAAAAGTGAACCCATCAAGCTACTAAAGGTTTCGTTTTAAAAATAAAAAGAGAAATACACTAACTTCTAAAATTTAGCACTTCGTCAGACAGCATCAAATAGAGATGGAAAAAAATGAGAGACATGAAGTTGCTTCGAATGCTAGGCAGGGGCCCAATATTTGCCCACGTGTCGAACTCCCAGTTGCTCAAAATCTAAGTGTCATAAAGGGCCCAGTCCTCCCTCTGACCAGTCCAGCATTGGTTGCACTGCAAGATCTCTTAGAGAACATTGAAGTGAAATTTACAAAAGAGAAGGATGAGATGAAGGTATCGGTTTTTATTGGAATTAAGTTAAAAACAAAACCTAAAATTGATTAATTTATCAGGAGCCTAAGAAGCCCAAGTTTGAAGAAATCAAACCTTTTTCTAGTTCTCCTAAATTTCTGATCATCAAACCCACCGAGGAACCAAAAGCTGCCTTGCTTGTCAGGTCGGAAAAAATAAAATTGAAACACGCGGAAAAAGAATGTCACGAAGAAAATTTCAATGCTAAAAAGAGACCGATCGCTCTTATTACAAGTCCAGCAATTTCTGCACTACAAGTCCTCTTGGAGAAAGAAAAAGTAGTTGATATAAAAGAAAAATATGAGGTTAAGGTATGAAAATTATTTTTGATATTCATTTCAACATAAATGAAATTTGCTTAACAAATCAGGAGCCTAAAAAGCTGAAGTGTAAAGAAATCAAACCCTTCTCTGGTTCACCAAAGTTTCTGATCATCAAGCCTACGAGGGAATTAAAAGCTGCCCTAATTGTCAGGTCGGAAAAAATTGAATCGGAGGAATCGAAAGAAGGACATTGCAAGGAAAATGCCATAGTAAAAGAATTATAAATATAATTAAGTAATTTTTTTTATGTAACATTGAATTATAATTTATACAGGCTCATGAGATAATCACAGACACCAGTGGTGCGATGGACTTGCTGCCAACAAAAGAAGAGGTTGCAGACATCAAACCTTTCACCGGTCCAGTTAAGTTCCTGTCAATAAAGCCTCTTCCTCGGAAACACAACAAAAAGTTCACCTGCGACATTTGCAAAAAAGGGGTGGGGACAAAGGGTGGCTTGAAGTACCACATTCAGGCGCACCTCTTCGGCCGACCCTTTAAATGTGACATTTGCAAAAGGTCTTATGCGACCAAAAACGATTTTGACACGCACAACAAAAGACATTTGGGAAAAAATGTAATTTGCAATTATTGCCAAAAGCAGTTTCCTGTAAAATCTTACTTGGGTGATCACATTCTTATGAAGCATTTGCCTAGAGAACTGTGCTGCCAACTCTGTAGTAAACCTCGCTATTTCCAACGCAAATGGGAATTAGAAAAGCATCTGACCGATGTCCATAATTCGGATTTAAAGTGTAAAATTTGCAATCAGGTTTATAAACTAGGGGACTTGTATCGGAGGCATTGCGAACAAAGAAAGTTACTGAAATATGAGTGCAAAGAGTGCAAATTAAAATTCCCGTGCATGAATCTACTTTCGGATCATTTGAAGGAAAAAAGAAAAAAACAAGCACAGGGCATTGAATGTCCAAAATGTATGCAGAAAGTGATTGATCTGAAACACCATATGCGGTTTGAACACTCCAACGTAAAATGTGACATTTGTCTTGCTAATTTTCCCAGAAATCAATTGTATTGTCACAAGAAACGGTGCGGGACTGATGAGCAAATTCGCGCACTTGGTTTTCACTGCAAATTTTGCACACTGTATTTTAGAACAAAACGCGCAATGTCAAATCACTTGAATACAAATCATGGAGTGCTCCCATGTCCAAAGTGCACAAAGAAATTCCAGACCAAAGGTCAGCTAAGTTCTCACATTAGAGAAAGTCACAACTTAAATAAATATCCCTTTACTTGTATTATTTGTGATGTAAACAAGAATTTCTCAAGCAAAGAACGGTTCAATAGCCATTTTAACAGGACCCATAGATTCCCTTTTATAATGGATCGCGGCCAAAAATTGAATATAGACGACATTCATGCTTGCGACCGATGTAATTGTTGGTTTCGCAAAAATAAGAAGGCAGATTTAGTGTTGCACGTTAAGCATTGTTATAAAAGCTCAAATCAATGAAGAAAAAACAAATTGATTTATAAATAGGAATTTGACAAATTAAATGAAATAAAACATTTTTTTTTAATTATTTTTGTGTGAAACCCAGGCAAAAGTTAAAGCTTTTTCCTGTGAACTTGCCGGCTTATCTGGCATATCAATATTTTTACACATTCATGCCTCGCTTTTCAAAAGAGTCCGGAATAAATTAATTCATAGATAAATAATCCAGGACTGCGAAATAATTTATATAATTTTTGTTAAGCATAGAGTTCATTGAGTCTTTAAATTTAATTTCCTCCCTATCAAATAAACATCTAATTTCTGTTCTTAAAATTTGTAAAACTAGCTATTCTTGCTACTTTTATCCACAAGCTTATTTCACAGTCTCTCTATGTCCGCCCAGAACCAGTGCAGATTCAATCAAGCTTTTCTGAACATTTTACTTATTATTTCACATCAATATCTATTATTTCAAACTGATTTTTTTATACATTCACGTACATATTCTCCAAACAAATAGAATGATTTCTATAAGAGGGAATAGGGATTCCTTACTTTCTGTTTTCATTTGACCCCCGCTCAAAGCACAGATGCAGCACATTGTGAGCAAATTGTATAGAGAATTGTCCATGACAGGGGTGGGAAGCTGTTATTGTGGAGCATACCGCGGGGATGCGAAAAGGAAAAGCTGCAAGCTGCGCTTGCTCTTTGTGTTGCACCTCGAGCTGGAGGGAAAACATCTACACATCGGAGACGCTCCTGAAGAGAAGCAAAGTTATTCTGCAGAATTTAAGAAGGTACACAGAATTGAAATTTTTCAGGTGAACCTCTTCCTCTCATATGCAATGAATATTTTGATGCGCATACAATTTTGGTCACGTTTTATTAAATTATATGTTTTCATTTTTGCAATAAAAGCTTGTAGACCAATTTACACAAATACTAAATACGCAACACAGAAATAAATTTAAGTTCATGCTTTTTTTAATCTAAGAAAGGAACACTCCCATGATATTCTTAATGTTTTATTTTTTTTTGCGAGCTTAACTGCAAAATGCATTAAATTAAATGTTGTAAAATTCAGTAGGAGAATGTGATAAATTTTTTTCGTTGTGTTTTCTGTTCTTACGAGTTGCCCTTAGCACGCCTTTGGCGTTTTATCAATTAATCATTAAATCTTTCCTTTCACTTAAACTTTTTCATTTTGGTCAACTTAATAATCGGCTACATATTTGCCACGGCGGCCGCCCGGCCGCGACATTGTATTTTTGAAAAATTAAATACGTTATTATGAAATCATATGAAATACAATTTCTAGTAAGTATTGAAATAATAGCAACGAATTTTAGATTTCATCATTTACAACAAATTTGGAATGTTAAAAACAATTAAGTTCCCCAAATGTATAATATTTAAAGTATTGTTAATTTGTTAGTGTGAGTGTGTGTTTTTTGGAATTTGGAGTTGAAATTTGGACATTTTAATTCGTTTTCCGAGCATTGGTTTTCTCGCTCAGTTTCTAAATCCACGTTAAAATTTTTTAGAATATTTAAGTAATTGTAATGCTGCAAATTTTACTTACACTGAATTTTCACACAAAAAAAGCTAATTTTCTCCTGATCCTGAAAATATAAAATTCATTGGTAAAATGCGTAAAATATAAAAGCTCGAAGAAAAAAAAATTAAAAAGAATTACTTTCAATATTCGATCAAAATTTTTTATTTTATTATTATTTCTAGAGACTTCATCCCCTGCAGCTGTGTATAAAGTGTTGCTCAGTTGCTATAGAAATGGACGGAGAGGCAGATGGCTCAGATACGGAAAATAGATTGGATGAGAAAATTTTACCCAGCAACATACAAAAAGTAATTCTTCTTGATCATTTTGGAAAAAAATTTTCACTATTATCTTTTTAGAAATTCAGATTGCGGCAATTGAAGGTGGAAATTATTGACCAACCAAAAGCTGCCCTTCTTATAAGGTCGCAAAATATAAAATCGGAGCCTTCAGGAAATGGCCGTGAGAAGCAAAATGCCACGGTAAAAATTTTTAATGCTTAAAATTATTTTTGTTAATATTTTAATTTAATTTTACAGTCTCAGAAAACCATTGACACTGGTGAGGCGATGGATCAGCTGCCAATAAAAGAAGAGGTTGAAGACGTCAAGCCTTTCACCGGCCCGGTAAAGTTTCTCAAGATCTGGCCGGTTCCTCAAAGTCATGGTAAAAAGTTCACCTGTGACATGTGCAAAAAAGGGGTGGGTACGAAGGGTGGCCTCAAGTATCACATCCAAGCGCATCTCTCTGGCCGACCCTTTAAATGTGAAATTTGCAAAAGGTCGTACGCAACAAAGAACGATTTTGACACGCACAACAAAAGACACTCAGGGAAAAATGTTATTTGCAATTTTTGTCTCAGGCAATTTACAGTGAAATCTTACTTGGTTGATCATATTGCTTTTTGCCATTTGCCAAAAGAGCTTTCCTGCCAACTGTGCAGTAAACCACGCTTCTTCCAACGAAAAGGGGATCTAGAAAAGCATTTGATTGATGCTCACTCTTCTGATAGAAATTTAACTTGCAAACTTTGTAATCAGAAATTTAAAACAAGCGATGGTTTTGATTCGCATTGTCAACAAAGAGAGCTCATGAAACATGAGTGCAAAGAGTGTAAAATGAAATTTCCATGCAGATATTTGTACTTTGCCCATATGAAAGAAAAAGTGTGCAATGTAGAATGTCCCGAGTGCAAGAAAAAGGTTCAAAATCTTCGAATTCACACCTTGCGCAAACATACCCACAAAAAATGTGATATTTGTCCATTTCTGGGAACCAATTATCAGTTGACATTACACAAGAAGCGTTGCGGAACTGTAGACCAAATTCACGCACTGGATTTTGAGTGCAAAATATTATGTAATTTGTTTTTCCGGTCAGACCTAATGTTGCTTGCCCACAACGCAGAAAAACACGGCAAGTTTAAATGCACCGAATGTCCAAAGTCATTTATCACTCTGCACCAGATGCGGTCACATGTCAAGGTTCATCGTCGCCCTAAAAATATAATGCCATACACCTGCGTCATTTGTCCTAGCCGCAGACGCTTTTCAACAAAGAAACTTTTCTATACACATTTTCGGTGTCAGCACGATTTGCCCCGGAAAATTCAACACACCGCGATTACCTTTTCAAAATTCGGCTGCGAAAAGTGCAAACGCCATTTCCCTGAAAAGACGAAAAAAGAAGACTTCGCTGAGCACGTAGAACTTTGCTACGACACCGATTCTGCGACCCTCGCAAATAAGCCTAATTTTAAAAAGGGCACTTCATGTTTGGGCCCGATTGCTGTTGTGGCCAATCAGGCAATGTGCAAGAGAAGTGACGATTTTGAATGCATAACAATTGATTAAACTCTATAATTTCGGTACTGCAATTAATATTTTTAGCTATTAAAATATCGGATCCTGTAGTCTGTACATTTTTATACTTATTAAAATATTGGCACTGGCGAAAAATAATTAATTATTTATCTAAACAAAAAATAAAACAAAAAAACTATAAATTAAAGAGCTCATGAAAGTAAAATTTCCCTGTTTGCAAATTATACTATACGGCAACTCACACTGTTAACAATCTAAAACAAAAGGAATGTAAATTTTTTATTAGATACATATATTTTTACTTTTGAAAATGTTGCCAGCGCAAGGAGCCAGCAATGATTATGTACTTGCTAAAAGTGTTGTTGAAAAAGACAAAAATAGCAAACCGTTCGCACGTGCTGGCAAGTGAGCGCACCTTCATTTGTAACTGAACTGACGGAGCGTAAGTTGCATCTGATCTTTCTCAAAAGAGATCAGAAGAGCCTTCACAATCTCATTTTGATAATAATAATTTAAAAATCCTGTAGCGTTTTTTTTTCAATAATTCAAACATAAAATTTATTGTAAAACTTGATTCCTAACCAACTGATTATCAAAGTAAGAACCAAATTTCATATTTTTCATTAAACTTTTTTCATGGAAAAACACAGTCTAGTTATTAATTATTATTATTGATATTCAAATTGAGAAAAAGAAACGTAAAATTCAGAATAAAATGGAACGACGCGATCAGGAAACCTTAAAGAGGTTCACAATTAAGCTTAAAAAGCAATTGGGAAATGGAAAAATGTTCTTAAAACAGTTTAGTTTTTGAAATTTGATATTCTCATACTCTATAGTATCATAGCAATTCTTATTTTAAAATTTAAAAAAAATATCAATTCATGCAACCTTTTTTGTTTTCTCAATGGAGCTGTATTTTAACTTTTAATCACAGCAAACAAATCACGAGTGAATCAAAAATGAACTGCACGATGCGGTGGCAACAACCCGTCTGACGAGCTAGTGCGCGTTGAAAAAGTGGTCTCTTTCTCTCGTCGGAGAGTCGAGTGAGAGATGTGTCGCTGCCAATAACCTATATAGGGACAGTTTATGGTCTGCTCGTTACAACAGAGTGAAGCCGCGGCCGAAGAGTATAAAAATATCCCGGTGTTTCAGCTCCATGCCAATATCAACTGGGCGCCGCGCACTTGTCTCGCGGGCCGGACAGAGATGCAGAGTGGAAAGTGCGCCGTGTGTCTGGCCGAGGCGGCGCTCCAGTGTGCCGGATGCAGGAGCGTCTTTTACTGTGGCAAAGGTCACCAGAAGAGCCACTGGAGCGGCCACAAGGCCCAGTGCAGGCCGGTCATTGTGCAGGAGCACCCGGTGCTCGGCAGACACCTCGTCGCCACCCGGGACATCAAGCAGGGCGAGCTCATCATCAGAGAAGCGCCTCTGCTCCTTGGTTAGACAATTCACACAAAATATTTTGCTGAAAAATGTTTATTGAACGGCGTTAAACTTGGAAAATTTATAATACTTTTTAATACGCTGTTTTTATGCATTTGCATATAAATTTAGACGTTTCTTTTTATGTACATTTTTTTAGCGTTTTTCTTCTTATATTGAGATTTGAGAGTTACCGGAGCAAATTTTTCCTTTTTTAATGGCTTTTGTTATTGACGATGGCAAAATTGCAGAAATATACATGCTAAATTTAAACTTTTTTGTTGTTTTTATATTTTTATTTCTTTATTATTATTTTTATTTTTTGCCATTTCTCCAAATTGCTACATTGATTACAATTTTTTTCTTTATGTAAAACTGTGTAAAACCGAAAAAATTGAGTTTAGAAAAGTTATATTTCATTCATCCATTTAAGTTTTTAAGAACTTCTGATATAGCCATAGACATTTCTTTCTTTTTAAGTTATACATATTATAAAAATATAATAAGCTCTTTTGATGAAATTGAGAATTGACAATGTTTTTATTGTTAAAAAATTATGCTCATTGTCAGTCAGTTTGGCATGGCTTTTAATTTGTTAAAGCAGTTAATATAATGCTGCTTGCTTTCATTATTTAAGGATCAAAATTATTCATAGTGTTGTGCTTGATTTAAAAAAAATTAAAACAATCAATTGCAATTTATTTTGCTGCTAGTTAAGTAAAGTTTTGCCAGTAATAAAGGTTTATTATTACTGTCATAATAATTATTATTTTATCTTTTAATAATTCCCTTCTGATTTTTTTGGTGATAAATCTTTTCAAAAGTGATTTTAATTTGAAATTAAATATAAATGTTTTGCAAAGATTTGTCTTTTGTTCAGTTGTTGAAACATAAATTGTCATTTTCTGTTATTTTTTATCCATTTACATATTTTTATTATTTTACTGTTTATTTTATGTAAGTTTAAATTAATTATAAAATATTTTTAATGAATTGTGAACTTGTTTTAGATTATTTTATGTAATATTTTAAAATTGATTTTTACACATCATTTTTTCTGCTGTGGGCAGATATTGAACCATCGATAAATAACTTTGCCTGTATTTTGCTTACAATTAGTGCAGTATTAATTTTCAGTTAAAAACTTCTAAATTGTTGTAAATAATAAGCAATCTGTAAGCAATATAATTGAAATAAATAAATTTCAATAGCCTGCCCAATATTATTTAATTATAACGTGCTATTTTAATCACATTGATCAGCATTTTATTTTTCGCTATTAATTTGAACAAAAGCGTTTTATGTGTATTTTATAATATTTAAGCTTCTCAATTAATAGAATTGATTGTCATTGTTCTAGATTAGTGTCAATCGCTTTAGGTGTTGCAAGAAAATTAATGAATGGGAATGCTTCGGCTCTCTGTAGAAATGCTAACAATTCAAAAAGCCTCTCTAGCAAATCGCTGGTGGATATTTGGCAAGCTTCCGAGGTAGTAGTGCAACATGTGTGTGCTTTTTGTGCTCGATTACGCGCGTTCCCCTAATTAATCAAACACGTCTGTGACTTCATTGGCGCGCGTCCATTATCTCTCTCGCACACGCAGCGGCCCGATTTTCTGCGGCCGATTTTTTAAATTTAGACGACGAGCAGCTCTCTCAGTATGTTTACATTCTTAACGGCTAATTCTGGCGATTGAAGAACAGACGTTGTGTGAGTGTGGCCTGACACCCTAAATCCTTAAGAATTATATTCGCACGCAATTATTCCTCTAGACATGGACGAGACATGTTTACAAAATAATTAAATTTTCCATAAGATCTTCCTCATTCTCAATTAGTTTCATTTCATTAGCGAAAAAATGACCAAAGACATTCTTGTTATTTTGGTGAAAATTTATTTCAGAGTAAAGCTATTTGCCGTAATGAAAAGTATGATTGATTTTGAAAATAGAAAATTGTTTACAACAGGTTTACTATATTCCAAATATTCTTAAATAAAGTTTTTCTCCAAATTAATTAAATTTAAATATTATTTGAATCAAATTATTTTTATCACCGTTTCACGTTACATAGGAATAACTATAGGATAGCTTAATTATCTTAAAATCCGCATTTAAAATCATATTTTACCGCTTATGAGAATTACAACTAATAAAATGCTACACAATTCTGTCATTCATTATTTTAGCTTTTAACAAATAAATCCAGATAAATCTATCCTCTGGAGCAATTTGTTTTTGATAGATTTCAAAGTACGTAAAAAAATATAAATAATTTTTCTCGTGTTTTTATCTGAAGAATTTGACGGATCAACATGGACTGGAGCAGACTAGGAAATTTTTGTAAAAATTTCAACTATCATATCATTATCAATTTCAAAATTTAAATTATTCATAAATATAGATGTATTTTAAAAAGGTAATCTTATCTTGGTGACAAGTGCTAAAAATTTACTTCCCAAATGTACTTCTAATCAAGTGTGCGAAATTATCTTTTTGATTCTATGAGAAAATTTGGTCCTGTCGAATTAAAACTTGATATTTTGCTACAATTTTATTTATTTTTGTCACTAATTTAATTATTATCAATTAGGACCGAAAATCGCTAGCACGCCAATTTGTCTGGGATGCAACCAAGAGGCGGACTTGAATTGTCCATGTCCTGGCTGCGGATGGCCCATGTGCAGTCTCGACTGCTCCTCGGCCCTGGCACATCAGGGCGAATGCCATTTGATGCAGACCAAAGAGTTCAGGGCAAAAATCAGCGAAGCCCACCGTCCCCTACCCGATTACGCGTTCATCACTCCTCTCAGGGCGCTGCTTTTGCCACCAAACAAACTGGCCACCCTCAGGTCCCTCCAGTCACATTTGGAGACGAGAAAAAAGACGCCGCTTTACAATTTATTGAAGTATATATATACTAATTTCCATTCTAGGGATAAAATATATCAATAACGACAGGCTCAAATTTTTGTTAAAAAAATCGTTTTCAAGCAATAAAATTTGGTGTCTGCAAATTTTATAGAATGAGAGAATTGAAATTGTATTAATGGATTTGAACTATTTATTTAAGCTACTAATGACGCACTTATTTTGATTTTCAAAGTATTCAACAGGTCGTTACATTCAAATTTGCAAAGTCAATTTTTTCTTAAGAAATTTATACTGATCGACCTTTTTTAAGCAGTAGTAATAATAAAAATTCAGCATAAAACTAAATTTTCTTTTAAAATGCTACTTCAGAAATTCAAATATTTACTATCAGAATGACAAAGTTGGCATAGATTTATTGTGTAAACATCTTTTGGATAGAAATTTTTACCAAGTATTTTTTTCTAATCTTTTAATCTAAATAAAATATTTCCCTATTAATCCAAATCTTATAATCAAAAATGATTTTTTTTTAGGTACAATGTTGTCAGTTTCATCAAGGACAGACTCGGCCTCAATTTTTCCGAGGATGAAATTCTGGAGGCCTGTGCGATATTGGACACAAACGCCTTCGAAATGCGTTGCGGGAAGATGCGATTCCGCGGCATTTTCCCGCAAGTGGCCATGATGGCCCACGACTGTATTCCCAACACACGACACTTGTTTGACTCGAACAACACTCTGGAATTATTCGCCACCGTGAACATAAAAAAGGACCAGAGTGTCACAGCCACTTACACGCAACCCTTTTGGGGCACGTTGGCTCGGAGGGCGCACCTCAGATCGGCCAAGTGCTTTGATTGCGCCTGCCAAAGGTGCGCCGACCCCGAGGAATTGGAGACCTACCTTGGTGCGATTCGATGCTCTGAATGCGATGGTAATTTACTAATTATTTTTGACGCAACATCAAGTATTTATAATTTTTTTAGTTTAGTTTTTATTTATCTCAAACCAACATTAATTTAAAAACTACTTTACCTATTTTTTTTTTTTTTTTTACAATATTCTGTTAAATATTTTCAATTTATTTTGTAATTTAGACGAATATTCCGCTATAATTTTTTTAATTAAAATTTTTAATTACTTTGAAATAAAAAATTTGTGATGATTTAAATAAGAAGGATTATATTGACTGGGAGCTAAAATAATTTTATAAATAAACCTAATTATGAGAAGATAACTGAAATAGATTTAGCAATTTATGGATTAGTGATACAGAGCATTGGGATATTATTTGTTTAATTATTAAAAACACAGAAATAAATCTGAATTTAAGTTCTTCATTCTATTATGGATACACTCTTGATTCTTCATTAATTCTTGTCTACATATTTATTCATTATTAATTTTTTTACTTTTGACTTACACAGAGGGAATGGTAATATCTGAATCCCCTCTGGAAGATATGGCTTCGTGGACTTGTAAATTATGTGGCTGTGAACTACCGGCCGAACAAATTTATTGGCTCAACCAAAGTATTACAAAAGAAATTGAGTTGTTGGACAAAAGTGGTCCAGACCAACTGGAAATGTTCCTTGAAAAGTACCAGGAGATTTTGCACACATCCAATGGACATGTGTTGCAAGTCAAACTGGCGCTGGTCCAAATTTACGGAAACAAGCGTTCGGAAGGTATTAATCCCTCTTTTTACGAATTATTTTTTATTTTCATTTTCAATCATAAGATATGAGTGAAGAACAGCAAGTTCGGAAAATCAGTTTGGCGGAGGAGTTGTTGCAAGTCTTGGCCATATTAGAGCCAGGGATAACCAGGACCCGAGCGCAGCTGCAGATGGAATTGCAGCCCGTCAAAGTGCTGAGGGCCAAAGCCGACTTTGAAGCTGGGAACTTGAGCAAAGAACAGACAGAAGTGAGAACAAATAATATAACATTAAAAATAAATTTAATTTAAATATCTAAAATTGCAGTCAACAATAAATACGGCCATTCAAGAATTACAAATCGCCGCAGATGTGTTGAAGACTGAACCAGAGTTGACCGTGAAATCTCTTGAAAAACTTCAGTTTGTTTCATCCTTGAAAAGTTTGTTAGGATAATTTATAAAAGAAGGTTGATAACCTGATGTAGTTTTTCATTTATAAAATTATTAGAAAAATAAAGTAATAGAACAGATTAATATTGACTAATATAAACATGAAATAAGAACAAAGAAAAAACTAAAAAATAATCATAATAGAAATAAAATTGAAATGTGGGAAAATTCAAGTACATTGAAATATATAATGTTACTGAATAAGTCTTTCTAAGCATCTTTTGTTTTAACCTTTTTTAAACAATACTAATTTGATTTTTTTATTCCATTGTTTACATTTAAGTAAAAAAAAGCCATATAATTAGATGTTATTTTTAAATCATATTTAAATAATTCTTTGTTAAAATCAGGATACTCAAAGTTTCTTTTACTCTCCACGGCTCGATTGTGTGGCGTCGCGTCCAGCACAACAGAAGATGCATGACGTCATTGGAGAACACACACGATAACTCATCTCCCCTCCTACTAGGAAAAATGTAAACAATAGTGACAAAAGCGGATCGATCATATGGTGGTCAATGTCGCAGCAAATAATTAGTGTGCCTTCAGTCATTCGTAGATTAACACGTGGGTTCCGCTTCTCACATAATTTTGGCACCATGAGCCAAGACAACCCGAACTTCAGCAGCATCCACTCGGCCGGAATTGACGAGGTGCACGACGTGCCGATTGAGGTCATCGTCCGGCCGTTCAAATCAGAGTTGGACGAGGAAAAAGTCAAGAGTCTCATGCAAACGTTACAGGCAAATTTCCACTAAAAATTATTTTGATGTAATTTATGATGCTTTAATTTTTAGAACCCTGGAACGGCGGATCAAGTTCCGCCAATAGACGTGCTATGGTTGGAAGGAACGGAGGGTGGAAATTATTACTATTCTTTCGGAGGGTGCCACCGATTTGCAGCGCACCAGAGACTGAAGAAACAGTTTGTGAAGGCGAAATTAGTGAAATCCAATCTGAACGATTTGAAATGCTACCTTGGCTCGTCAACACCAAAAATATTAAAATGATACATTAATGTAAATAAATATTTATTTTTGCATTCGCTTAATACGTCATTAACTATAAATTTAAAAAAAAAAATTGAATTGTTCACAAATATTAATTGTGGAAAAGAATTAAAATTTGAGCCTCAGCGCTATCATAAAAAATTGTGTAAACATTTATAAAAAGATGATACATTATAAGCAAATCATATCATAAGACTGCATAAGACCAGATATATTATTCTAATTCCAAAGTACAAAGAGGAAACTTCTTTTCTAAATCTTTGAGTTCGCTTAATTCATTAAAGATTTCCATGTCAATATTTTTCTTTATTTAACATACAATAAATGATCAATGTTAATAATGTTAATTTCAATTAATAATTTATTGGGCTGCGTTAATTATTTGCAATTAAAAATAGACAGAACTAGTGAAATCTGCTGAAAATAAACCAATCATACTTTCATGATTCTCTGATTTTAAGTATATAATGTTAGTTAATATTTGAGAAGATTTATAATTTGCTTCTTGCAAGGTGAAAAAACCTTAAAATGCCTCAGGTAAAAAATGTGAACCAGTAATATTTCTTATAAAATAAAAATTCAATTTAAGGATATAATAATTAATTTGCTCGTTTTTATTTCCATTTTAAGTATATAATTTAATAATTTAATTGTTTTCCCCAATAATCACACTTCTTGGTCTTGGACTTGTTGCTGCCCGACTTGGGAGCCACTTTGGCTCTGCTCTGCGTTATTTCCGTCCGCAGCCTTGGCCGCCTGCTGCCTTCTGGTGGTCCTCCTGCGCAGAGGCTTGCCGGTGGCCTTTTTCCACGCCATCTGCGTGAGTCGTCGTTTGGCGCCGAACGCGACGAAGAGGAAGGCGCCCTGCAGGCCGACGAGGGCGACGGCCGCGTACCACAGGAAGGGGAACTCGCCGACCGCGGCGACCACCCCGCAGCACCACGGCATCGTCAGCACCAGCGACAGCCGCACGTACGCCTTGAAGCGGTGGTGCTCGCGGCTGCTGATGGCGCTGCTGCGGCGCCGCCGCAGCGACGCCACCGTCACCTTGGCCGCCTCCGCGTCGCCCTCCTGCTGCTGGGCCGCCTCCTCGCGCCGCTGGGCCGCCTCCGCCCGGCTGTCCCGCATCCAGAAGATGATGGCCGCGAACGCCAGCCCGTCCACCAGCAGCAGAAGACACACGGGGACGCCGAAAAGCACCCCAAAGCCGGCGCCCGAACCGAAAAAGCAAGCGCCACCCCGCGCGTAGCACGGTTTTATAGCTGAAAATCAGATTGTTAATTAATAATAATAATAATAATAATATTATTATTATGAAAAGATTTTTGCATGGCTATTTACTAAAATTGTGCGATAAAAATCACCTAAAAGGCTATTTCCGTGTTCAAGTTAGTTTTTAATTTTTTGAAGACGCATAAAAGCAATTTTTGACTCATTAAGAAATCAATTTCTTAAATAAAAGTCAAAACTTATAGGTGTGTATTCCATTCTTCCAAACCATTATAGTTTTTCTCACACATCTTCAATAAATCGACATAAAAATCATTAAAAAATAAAATCCTTAAATTGCTTATTACATTTAACAACACAAATATTATGACACTAGCGGAAAAAATTTTAAACGGTTTGGATTCTAAATTAAGGAAATGGAGCGTTCGCGTTACCTTGCAGGCAGCTCTCACAATCAGACATATACAAAACTAGTTTCATAAATTTAAATGATTGTCAATATCAATCTTAAAAACTACAGAACTATATTGATCACACCGGAATATTCTATTTTTTGCATCGCATGATATGTATATGGGGAATATGTTTGACTTTGAATCTACTAAATGTTAAATGATTGAAAGACAGAGAATTATTTATAATGACCAAAACATGAATATGTAAAAAAACTGAAATTAAACATAATTATAATAATGTTTAATGAAAAATATAAATACATATCATTAAAAAGTTAATATAAAAATAGTTATAATATCTAAAATATTATATTTATTTGATAAAGTTTTTAATGTGTTCCTTGAATTAAATTAGTCATATAATACCTGAGGCAGTCTTGCTGGACTCTGCAGTGAGTTCCTCGATCTGATCGAGGCCTAGGGCGAGGGCGGTGATGAGGGCCGGGAGGCCCCAGGCGTAGAGGGCACTTCGAAGGAAAAGCCGTCCAGCCACCGGACGATACGTACCGAAGAAAAAGCAGCGAAAAATGTCGACGCACATGACGTTGAGCCAGAAGAAGGAGGAGAGCAGCAGGTAGTGGAGGGCGGCGGCGACCGCGGTGCACACGACCTGCACCTCGTCCCTGCCCACGCCCAGCAGGAAGGTGAGGTGCGCCAGCAGCAGGGTCCACGCCAGGGCGTGCACCGTGCGGCCAGGGTAGAGCCACACGAGGCGGCCGCTGCGACACGCGCGCTCCGCCACAAACAGCGCCAGACACCCGCCCGAGATGAACGTGCACGTGTACGCCAAGTACCACTGGATCGGCGTCAGACGCAGCAGCGTCGAGTCCGAGCAGCTTGACTGGTACGCCATCGAGTTACTCGCCAGGTCCTTTCAATTATCCAGTTTCAAACTATTAGTATATTTATTTAAGAGCTAATAAATTATTTGTAAAATTGATCCGCCAGCAGAAATGAGACCAATTTGTTGATTAATTTTATTTCTTTAAATACCTATAAAATTATATGAATTCATGGAAATATTTTTCATCGGTTTCTTTGGGCACTTTAAAAATTTTAATAAGTTATTACAGTTTCTTTATTTAAAAAAATTTAATGAATTGTTATTCAAGTTTAGGATCATTATCTTAATTATTACAGTTATATTCAATTTACTTAAAGTATGGATGAAAAAAAACGTAGTTTCACTTAGTCGCCCAGCATTCGCCAAATATCAATATCCAGAACTATTACACATTTAAAATTTGAGCAAATAATTTACCTCGAATGAAAGCACTTCTTTCTGGAGAGTGACTGCAGACAGAGTTGGTGCAGCAAGAAGAAGCAGCAATAAACGCCAATTTCTTTTCATGATTGTCAACATCTACAACATAAACAAAAAATTGTTAAAAAAATGTGCTGAAAAATGCAAACTTTGCTCGGCGTCTTTAATTCATACGATTTTAATTTAAAATAAAGAAAATTAATAAATCAAACACCAACAAAAGTTATTCATCAAATATAGAAGTAAAAACTTCAGCAAGTAAAGCTTACAATGAAATAAATATTTAATTTCTCTATTTCTGAATTTTTTTTCCTGTTTACGTTTGTTTAATGAAATGGTGCAGAAAATGAATATTTTGGAGCTTGTGAAATATTTTTTATAATTATGATAATTTTTCTTACTTATTTCTTGTAAAGATGTATTATTTTCGTGACAGAATTTCACGATTGAGGGTTAATTCTTGGTGTTTTAATTAAACGTACAATATCTGAGATTTTCTGAAATTCGTTGTTTCATATCTGGTTTTCATTTCTTCTTTATTGTTAGTTGATTAAAACTTGTATGTTATCACAAAGAAAATTAAAATACCTGACTGAGTTTCAGTTTGGGAGTCTGGACGACGGTCCCCAAACGGAGAAAGCGACGCCTCCAGCAGCCAGGGGGTCTGTTCAGTAACTAGTGGTCCAAACAGCGACCGGCTGGCGGCCCCCTGCACTCCGTAGACACGCAAATCGTATATATGCGTGCGCCCTGAACGCGGGCCTATAGTTTTTACTTGGCTCGGGTGACGCCATCAACACCCTATCTTTCTCTACTTTGCGCCCAAACGCCGGGCAGTAATAAAATTAGCAAGACTGAGGAAATTGAGGCCGTAAATCGAGCGTTGAGCTGGGGTTGCATCTTCCGATCTCTGCTGGTTTCGTCAGATTGAGAAAAAGAAAGAGAGAACCCTTTGTTTGAAAGTCGTTGTCCGAGATATTTTGCAAATTAACCAGCACTTTTAACTTGTTTGAACTCGTTAAATCTGCTGAAATATAAAATGTTTTTATCGTTTACTTTTACGACTCGGCATATTTTAAGCAGTTGGCAAAAAAACCACACACTGCACAAATGCTAAATAAATTTCACTTCAAGCGGCAAAATGTAGAATAAAAAGGAGTTAATTATTATGTACATTTTATTTTTGGCGTTGAGTTGAAAAACGTCTGCGGCGCTCAATCCAATAAACAACAAATTTAATTTTTTTATGGCTAATTATTATTTTTAATATTTTTAATCAGGATTTTAGCTAGACACGTATTTTCTTCTATTAAAAAAATTACATTGTGTGTCTTTGAAACTGGTGTTTATTGACTTGAGTTTTTTCTTTCAATTTTCATCATGCTTATTCACGGGGCCTGCGATAAAAAGAAAAAAATCACCATTAATCTGATCATATTATTTTTCAATAATGCATGACTCATGGCATCTATTGTGCTGGTCAGTGTGATTTGTACCTCTGATTTCAGCTACGAGAACGTGCTAAAGCATCAATCGTCTCTACCCCTAGTTGAAGAAATAATTAAAATGAGGTGAACATAATTAGAAAAAATGTTAATTATTGGCATTCTTCAGGCTACTGGTAATAAAAAATAATATTAAAAAAATTAACAAGGCCATATTTCAGCAGAAGCGTTTCCTTAATTTGATTATTTTTGTACGAAGCTCAATTGAACTTAAGTACATCAAATAAAAATTTTTGATTTTTAAGTGCTCTCTTTTAATATGAAAGTGTCGCTGGGCCAGAGGTGCTGGTTAGCGAGCGGCGATTCCACGTACCGTGTCGCATCTGGCTCCCAAGATAACCCTTTGAGAAAACAAACATTCATACACAGAGAGGCCGCGGTCGTTTTCCGACCCTCGTGTTGCGACACCGCGATGATCAAAAACACCCGTCGCTCATCACGACGCTTTATTACCCCTTTTCCGCGACACGCGCATTAACGCGCGAATTCGGCAGGCAGCCATAAACGTTTTATGGAAATGACAAAAATTACATTCAATAAGTAGTGCGGGTGGCGCGCCACGTGGGCTGTCGATAATTTATTGAGGTGGGTGTGCGTGCGAGGTATTAATTTTTAGGGCGGAAGCTCGCCAGTGTTTGTGTTTTGAGCGGCAGGACGAGTGACCAAAGTGATGAGGCTTTTACGAGCAGTCTAGACATTAACAAGACGTCAGGCAAAAAAATCTCCATTGTTACCAAGGCGAGAGGCGTGTGTCGTCGTTAAGGTCACATTACACTTAGTCTCATTAAGGACAAAAAAATTGACTGTAAAAAATTAATCTGATTAATCTGATAAATTCGTTCATCAATGTAATTGGGGGGAAAATTTATTCATGAGTTTGAGTGATTTTTTTATTAACCGCTCCCAAATTAGTTATTTGAATATTTGCGTATTGAATGAAAATAAAAGAGACACTAAAAAACGACATTTTGGTCCTTTTAATTAATACAGAAATTTTTATAAATTCTCATCAATATAAAAATTATTTTTGTTATTAGGGTTATCACAAATTGAATGCAGAAAATAAAAGTAGGAAAATGAAAAAATGATTAGTTTTTAATTACATAAAATCTAGTTCTTTTTGAAAATCAGTGCACACATAATATTTAGAACAGAAAGAAGACTAGAAAAATATTTAATTTAATCTTACTTATAGAATTTAGAAACAATAATGACGTGATAACATAATTTTATAATACTATCTTACTTTAAGATGGTTTTATGTTTTATACTGAACTTTGACCCCACAAACTTCACGAAGTCGTTTTTTCCTCGCTCGGAGAGAATTTTGTCCTTAGAAAAATTCACGTTTGCTCTTTTTGTTCATTAGTTTTCCGCAAAGAAAACACAAAGTGACACACTTGCCAGAGTCTTATTTGCTCTCTGCGACTAATTGAGAGCGAATTGTTTTGCTACGAGCGCGCGCCGTGAGGAAAAAGAGTGGATAATTACACAGCCCATACTCTTCATGGTACATCACCAGCCAGCCTAATTTGTTTCCATTCGGACAAGGACAAATGAGCCCTTGAGTCAACATTGACATGGCGAAATGAACAAATTTTACCAAGCTCGATTGCATTCATGTATGTAGAAGTATAGATAAATTGATAGATTCACAAATTTTGATTTTTTTTATAAAAACTTTGTATTACAACAAATATCAACAATTTAGTTAAAATATTAAAAATAAAATTAAAATTAAGTTGTGCATTTAACAATACTATACAGTAAATGTAATACTATATTTGTAGATATTCATTATTTATTTATATAATTATAATTTATAATCAAATTTACTAAGTTCAATGTGTTTTTTTTTTAATCATAAATTTAAATGAAAAAATTTAAAAATTTGGTTTTTACTTTGAAAATTATTATTGTATAAGCATAATTGATTGCGAATATAAAATATAGTGATTTTCTTATACCTTCGTATAATTAAATCTTCAACTAATTTAAATAAATGAAATATCAACAATGATTTTGACGCAAACATTTTCTTCAAGTAAGATCGAGTTCTATGAATGTTTATAAAGATATGAAAATATGCAACCGGCAACACTTGAAAGCCTGCATCGCTGCCTAACTTCTCAAGAAACGATTCAATCGACCAATTTTTTATTAAAATGAGAAAGAGGAAAATTTCAAATTTGAGACGTTTTAAACACGCCCTTAAAAGGATTTCGCAATTAGCGGAAAGTGTGGGAAGTGCAGAGGGTCGTAAAGTGTGTTTTGAAACTTTATCGGACAGCATCTCTCGATCTCTTGAGTAAAAACTCTTTCTATGTTCAAAGCCAATTTGTTTCTCAAGAGAACACGACCGGACTCTGACCACCGCAAGCGCGTGTGAAAACTTCTTACGTGTGCACTTTAATGCAAACACATTTCTTCTTTTATGATGCGCACTGCCGATATTAAAATATTTATTGTTTATTGCATACACGATAATCCACAAGTGGTTTGTGCATTTTTTCTCTCTCTCAAGTTGCATCTGCTGGGATGTTCAACTCTCGGAGGATTTGAGAAACGAACGCAAATGCAATTCGTCAAAGGGCGGCCAGCGTGAACCTTGACCCTGAAAACACATGTGCACGTTGGACGAGGTGCTGCGGCGTGTCCCGCTATTTGTAATGACGAGAAAATATAAGAAAAATAAATAAATAAATCATTGAATGAAGAAGCTTTCAGGAAAACATTTTATTTCAACTTCATATGATTGAAAATACATTCTGAGATTCCATGAAAGACAAAATGCAAATTCAATTGAACGAGGTTAACATATTCATTGTTAAAAATCTTAATTATTTTATAGTAAGATTTTAGTTACTTCCTTTGTTAGTCGACTTTTCTCAGCAAAATTCATTTTTCACATTCTTTTAAAGCTACTTTTGTTTATTTAATTGGTTTTATAAACTCATTATTTGGCTTGGAATTACCCCAATGGAGATTAAAAGTTCTAATCTTACAACAATCGAAAAAATGTGCTTCCACTGTTGTAAGGACTTAATTTGATGAAAGCAATAATTAGTCTTTAAAAAGGGTTAAACTGAAGTGGAATTGTTTGAAGATATTGAATAAAAATCAAATTTTTAACAATTTAATTTTATTAGAATTTTGGCGTTAATTGGGAAGTACATCAAGATTTAATAAAATTTTTTATTTTCACTGAATTGGTAAAAAAAATTAAATTATAATTCCAAATAATAATATGTATTATCTACATTGCCACAATTAATTTAAGCTGATTACAGATATAGGTTTTTTTTAAGTACCAAGTTTTTTTTAAATTTTAGTTTTACTTTGTCTAATTTTAAGTGCACATATTTAATAAAAAAATTAGCATGAAATTAATTTGTCTTATTTGTTCTTGTTTAAATTGTCATTTATTCTAAATTTAATATTTTTATTTTTGTAGTTCCTACGTTTTAGCTCCAACACCTCTACAGAGAAAAATATTTATATTCAAAAATTTAATTATAAATTAATGCTAATCTTGTATTATCAAGAATAAAATAATAATGTAAGATATGGGTACATAGAGATCTAGGCAGCAGTGTATGCCTCTTTGATATATCCAGTCCAGATCTATCAATAAAAATATTATCATGCAACTTAATTAGAATGAAACTATCAAGAACAAATTAAAACATGCAAAAAATACAAAGATTTTGATGCTACCAATTTACTCAAATTGAATGAAATGCTTGTTACCTCTTTTCTATTTTTTGAAACACTCTTGGGAAATATATTTTTTGTTGATTGTATTTAAGTGGAATTCAAACAAATATCTCAATCACCGAAGTCATTCAAGAGATTTTTTTCGCGTGCTCCAAAAATAACAAGCACTTCATGGAGAGTCGCGTCAAGGACGAGACAAACTTCTTCAGCAGCTCTCTTCTTTCCTTCGAGAAGAAAATGTTTGCTTAGGCGCGTCTCCTCGAGTGTTGTGACAAGCGTGATTGCCGGGCTGTTTGCGCACCAAGTGTCGATATCTCGCGTTCACTTCGTCAAAAACGCGCGTGAAATTCAGACCGCAGCCAGAGTAAACACCCTGGAGCCTCGTCGCGAGAGTATAGATAATAAAATTGGGCGCTTGCGCGCCACCCTTGCTGCTTTTTCCGCAAAAAAGACACTTCGTCTTTTCACTCGTCATCGTCGCCGGCGGCGGCTGTTCGGCTCTGCACTTCAATTGCAACAACGGATCAGATTAAAAACTCACTGCTTGGGTAAGTGCACATGGCTTTAATTATACCATAGACCACGTCAGACTGTTTTTGAAACTCAACTACGTCGAACCACTTGTTGTCAATCGCCTGTCAATGAGGGCTGATTGATGGGTTCATTATTTTTAGAAATTTTAATTATTATAAATTCCCATTTCATATTGCCTGAGATAATCTAGTGAATGTTCTTTGAGGCTTTCTTTTAGAATTTTGTAGTTCTGAAATGTTTTAAAATTATTCGCAATTAAGTGATTCAATTCTTTAAAAATGCTTAGCGTATTCTCAACGAATTTTTTCTATTTCTTATATTATTCCTGTTTGCATAATTTCTGCAAAACTCAAATGGTATTAACCATTCTTTCATCACAATTCTAAAGTGTCAATCATTTCTTTATAATTTTTATTTTATTCCTTTTTTGAGTTTACTTTTCATCATTGACACAAGAATCGCTTAGGATTACTTTTTAATAAAATCTCATGAATGGAATTTTTTATGGAATTCAGTGGTAAAAATTGCTATAAAAAGTGAATCAAAATCTCTCGAAGAAAAATTTAAATTTATCGCATATTTCACATTGAACTACCACAATTCTCTTCTACAAAAAAAAAATTATTCAGCTAAATCAAGTACTGAAAAAAGTGCGGAACAATTATTAAATTAACGAATTAATTGAATATCAATAATTTTGAACATTGAAAAATCTTTAATCAGAAGAATAATTATCTTATCTACAATTTAACCTTTTAAATTTATAAATTAAAATAAAATTCAGAAACTCTTGTGATGTTTAAACAAAAATATGATAAAACCCATCCCAATCATTACTTTTTGAATTGGAACTAGATATTGCAATTGATAATACAATTGTTGTTTAAGGTGATTCTTCTACGGGGTTTTGGCCAAAACTAGAAATGCTGCAATGGATTCCAAATGACTCAGATTATAAGATTTGAACTATTGTGTGTTAATGTTTCAAGTATAAAAATGATTTATTTTCGCCCCCATCGCTTCTTTACAGGGGGCCAAAGTAATGTCCGAAGGTCGAAAACGGGTAAAAATCCACGTTTTTCTACCTTCTCATACTCGTAACTTTTCATTTTGCAAAGTAAACTATAATTTTTTTGATAGCTTTCGATTCGCAAGAAGTTGAAGTATCCAAAAAAATCAAAAAAATTATACCTCTTCTGTCATTTTATTACCCCCTGAGAAATCAAATTTTTTTAATTTTAACGGGCCATTTATAAATGCTATTTCTCAGGGGGTGATAAAATGACAGAAGAGTTATAATTTTTTTGCTTTTTTTGGATACTTTAACATCTTGCGAATCGAAAGCTATCTAGAAAATTATAGTTCACTTTGCAAAATGGAAAGTTACGAGCATAAGAAGGTAGAAATACGTGGATTTTTACCCGTTTTCGACCTTCGGACATTACTTTGGCCCCTTGTAAAGAAGCGATGGGGCGAAAATAAATCATTTTTATATTTGAAACATTAACACACAATAGTTCAAATCTTATAATCTGAATCATTTGAAATCCATTTCAGCATTTCTAGTTTTGGCCAAAACCCCGTAGAAGAATCACCTTAATTGTTCAGTACATTCACTTTTTCCTATTTGCAGCTACAAAATTATACATAAAAAAACCTTCCGCTTCTTCCTTGGCTGCGGAGAACTCATAAATCGCTTAATTGGCAATAAAAGAGTGACACTAGCGAGGACACTTTGACTTTATTTTACGAGCGGTCAGTTACTGTGTGGCAAAGAAATGCACTCGCACGTCTCACGAGTGGAGGCCGCACAATGAATTTATTCATTATTTTTCTTGTTCAAATGACAATGCAATAATAATTGAAATCCAATCTCAAGAAGTAAGAATTAAAATGTTTTAAATAAATTCAAAGTGAAGACAGACACCAAACCCCTAACGGTGATCATTTTTTCTCTCTCTCACAACCTGCTGACGTTTTATCTGAATGCAAATTCAATGTTGGATGCACTGTAATGGAATAATCAAGTTTTCAGAATTAATTTGTTTTGAGATGTAAGGAAGGCAAATGATATGCAAACTTGCCACTGGCATTGAATGATCTGAGCGAAAATCAGAATTAATTTTTATTTAAGGATAGAAGTGAAAAATTAATGAGGAAAAATTATTTAAATCAAACTTAGTTGATCGCAGACTGTATTAATTTCCAATAATCATTGTCCTATTATCCAATGATAAGTATGAAAAATTCAAAGTCTAATAATAAATTTTATGATAGAAAATTTTGGTTGTAGTAAAAGTCCTGGTTAGTTTTTTTTTCAAAATTGTTTGCAGAAGAACAAACTGAAAAAATTAACACTCTAAATTGAGCTCACAAACTTAGGAAATAATTAGTTGTAAATTTTATTTGGAACTAAATTTTGTATCAAAAATAACAAAAATGCTATTATTATTATTATTATTATTATTATTATATTTATATATTTATTTATTCTCCATTCAATACAATTATATAGAAAAATTGACTCATGAAAACTATGAGACTTTTTTTTTAAATTTTGTAGAGGGATATCTTCCAGTCTTAGTACTTGGAGGTAATTCATGGAACATAATAGAGACGACAGGAAGAACATCGACCTTCAGACGTTTTTGATGACAAATGGTGTGACAAATTTGGGTGTGTCCCACTCGCGTAAACTCACCCAGCAGTTGATACCGATCGCAAACAGAGGAAATGTGTTATTCTTTCACACGCACTCTCCGCGCAAAGTAAACGAAATTTCCATTTATTTTAAATTTATTCCACAAATTGGGAGGGTGCGATTTCCAATTAATTAGATCGGCAAGTTTCCATGGAAACCAATGGAGCGGCGGCGTCATCGGGGGCGACTTTATTAATCAGGCTTAATAGGTCAGAGTGCGGCGGATCGTTCCTTCTCAAAACAATTCATCCATTCTCAAATAAAAAGGGTCGAGCATTAGACACGGGCCGTTGGTCGCACGCCCCCGAGCCTCGTTAGGACACGATTTTGTGACGTACTGATTTTATTACTCGAGCAAAAGTGGTGATGTCATAACACAGAGCTTAGTCATTGGTGACGACACCATCAACTTGCCAAAATTGCTTTTGCAATATGTTCGATTTCGTGGGATTTCTTTGGATATGAACAGTCTGTGTCTATAAAAAATATATTAAAGCAACACTATAAAACGTCGATTCGAGGGACCGTCAAAGTGAATCGTGAAAAGTATTGATGAAGATTATAAAGGAAAATTGAAAAAAGTGCAATTTTGAATGTTGGCCAAAAATGCTAAAATGATTGAAAATCATATTAAATTTTTTAAGTGGTAAGGTTCATTATGATCTGTTATATCACATTATTATTTGAAAATGATTTTATTATGAAATTATTTTATAACTAACTGCGTAGACGTGCATATTCAAAAAATAATTTTTTTTTCTGTAAATTTTAATGAAACAAAAAACTTGAAAATAAGAGTTAATTTAGAATTTCAAAATATATTTTATTTTATAATAAATTATTATTAATTAATTTCAATTTAAAAATAATTTTATTTATTTATCTGTATTTATAAGAATTTTTTTATGTATAATGAGGCAACTTTACAATTAGAATAATTTTTTCTAAATCAAATTTTTTAAAAATTAAATTTTAAAACAATTAAAAAAATTCTAGATAAAATCTTTTCTTAATATAATGTTAAAATGATGCAATGGATGCTAATATAAATCATTATAACTTAAATGCATTTAAATGTAAATTTGCTTTGTCTTATTGGATTGGGTTGAATTAATTTATATAAAAAATGGAATATTTAATAATCTTCAATTTTTGAACATCCTTGTGGAAAAGAAAGTAAAGCATCATCTTTTTCTGAATAAATCTCCGCTCCACCCAAATAAAAAGTTTTTTTATCGAATAGGAAGCTTGTCATGAAAATGCAAGTATTTTTCAATGATTATCTAAATTTTACAAATTTCATGTAGCAATCAAATCTTCCCTTCAAATCGCTCAATTTTTCCGCAACCAAGATTGTGTATTATCATATCATTGTTGCGTTACGACGATTATACAGTTTCTTCTTTCCCGATGTTTGATTTATGGCGCCACAATCATTAATAATTAGACGTTGAGTAAAAAACGGAGACAGCAGGGAATTACGATTTGTGCATTATCATTACTGAGGGAGTGTGTTTTTGTAATGAATGTGCTGGTCGGACACAGAACAAGAAAACGAGATGGTATCTCCGCTCTTGCGCTATATTCTGCGTCCAATATGTTGTGGGCTTTGTGTGTTTATCGCTCGGCCATCTGCACCGATGAACAAGAGATCAAACACATTACTCATTTTCGCTTATTTACAAACGCGATAGAATAATGAGAGGATCAACTTGATTATCTCGTCACTATCACCATTAGTGCTATGCGATATGGGCAATTTTTAACATCAATGATAATTATTTACAGGACTAGTCCTTGAGAGTAGTGCGACTAATTGTAATCTCTTCGTAAATCGGCCTAATTTGATCTAGATCAAAAAAATACATATATTGAATAAAGTGCAGTTGTCCTTTCAGGAATTTTTTTTTTTTTTAATTACATGCATGAGTTATTTAATAAATTTTGCTTGCAATTTTATAATTATTTGTCGTGTTCATCTTTGAACTTAACAAACCACAATAAAATTAGGACTTCGATATTAAAATAAAAAGGCTCATTATCAAATACCAAGTTGATCAAGTCATTTTTATTTTTAACAAAAACAGCTCATTTTTTTCTAATTCTAAAAACGAAAAATGTTTGCGATTGAAGTAATTCTTTTGTATGGAAGCAGTTTAATTATTTGCAATATTTCTCTCCATTTTTAATCCCATGACGGCCATGAAAATAATCGCATGCTAAAATGTTTCAACTGACTTGTTGCTGAGAGCACTACTTGTGCTCATGTTCAATCAAACATAAAGCATTTCTTCTTGTCATCTTTGCTTTTTGATGGGTTGTTAGGCATTCAAAATAAAAAAAGGGTAGTATTTAATCTGACAGGAGCACGTCGAGGATTTTATTATTCAATTTGAGTGGCAATAGGTGCCTTTTTTAGAATCGACGTGAAAAGGCTCACAAAAAATGTACATGCAATGCATCTCTACCTGATTTTCATTTTACGAGAAAGAGAAGCAGTAAAGAACTCTGGCCGCACACACGTAATTTCGCAATAAATCTGATTTATTAGCCTGTGCAGAGCTGCACGTAATGAATCAATTAATGTGAGTGCTCTTTCTGATAATGAGAGCCTCAAAGTAAAATACATGTACGCATTTCGTATTGCACGCATTTTGTTTTTGAATACACAAGCCCAATCAAACAAACAACTTTATTTTTCATTTCTTAGACATCATCTTTTTGCAATTAAATGAAAAAAAAATTATTTTACAGATTAATTTAAATTAACGAAAAAGTAGACCATTTATTATTATGAATTTTTAGTTCTTTTCATCTTCATGGTTGATTTAGTGAATTTATAATTTCTATATAAAAGTTTTGTTTTCAAAGAAAGTAATTTTTGTTATAAAGTATATCACAGTGACTTTTTATTATCTTCTTTCTCCACTTTGTTTATTTCTGTATCAAAAGGGGAACAAATTTTAAAAGTATCAATATCTGTGGACGAAGCTCCCAACGGTTAACCTGCATCATTTGAATGGAATTTCCTTCCTCATTGACATGCCATCATCATCTTGTCACCAGTAGGCTTCTCAAAAATTAACAGCTATTGAAAATGCATCGCAGGCGTTGCACCGTTTGACCAAATTTTTATGCAATTCGCCTAGTAGGCCATCCATCAGAATGAGTCGGAATGAGGAGTTAAGCGGTTCGAAAAAGTAAACAAAAAATCTGCCGTGTCGAAACCAAAGGAAAGCCGTCACTCAAGCGTTGAATCTCATCTTGTATATTTATAAATAATCTCGCCTTAAAATTTAAATTTAATTTTTTGTGAAGAGGCCCATTTCGTGGCTGTCAAAATACGGACGGCGGCAGCCGGTCGGGAGGAATGGCCAGCGGAAAAAAAGAAGCGCCGTTGCTCGCCGTCAAAACAATTAGCTTGCTTGAATTGTTTTTGGCAAGTGGAGCGTCGGCCAAACATTTTTGTTGGCCGCTCGCACTCATTACACACACCGGCTGCTCGCGAGCTGCACATTTGTTTGTTTGCACGGAAGTGGATTTACTTTCTTTTCAAATGCCAACAAAAGTCAGATTTAAATGATAAACAAAGAAGAATTTTACTTAAAAGAAGATGCTTATAAAATGATCAACAAATTTTTTTTGTAGAATCTGTCGGTCTGCTGAAGGTTGAAACATATTTTTAGAAACCAAAAATTAAAAAAAAATTGACTCACTGGGAAGTTATAAAAATTTTAAAAATGAACTATCAACTGAAAAAAGAATCATAATAATATCATCCATCACCTCAGCAACAATCTTTCGTCTTTCTTTTTTGTCGGCACATTCTTCCTTGCAAATAGAATCATCAACGATCAACGTCAAAAAGTAATTTCAATCTTTTTTTATTATCGCCAATATTTCATCACTGTACAATAGCCGACGTTCCATCCTTTGACAAAAACCGATCAAGCCATTAGATATGCACTTCTGTCTGCGTCTCTATTATAAAATAAATAAATTGTATTCTTGCACGTTGTTTTGCAGTTCAGCGCACCGCGTGCATCGTAATGGTCCAGATGAAGAAAACGTGAAGAATGGCAGCGCGATTCGCGCTCGAGGCGGCCCTGGCCGTGGCCTTGACCTGCGCCACGGCAGTGCGGTGCTCCCTGCTGCTGGAGGAGGCGCGCAACCTGACCGCAGGTTCATGCCGACCCGAGGAAAGGTGCGCGGCCCGGCGCCAACCCATCGACGAACACCCTGCAGACATTCCTCTCACCAAGTACGTACACGTCTTGCGCGACGACTAGCGGAACAACTCGCTAGAGTTGCTCGCGTCGAAACACGAAAAAGGTGCAGATTTAATGCCATAACTACGTGTCCGTCAGCCACTTTCGCAAAGCTCGCCGCCGGCCTTTAATGGAACGTTGCTTAATTTTAATTATGCGCGCAGCCTCACTTATGATTTCAATTAGCAAGCAGATTAATTTTTTTTCTTCTTGTGCCGTTAATTTTATTTAATTGCCAAAAAAAATGTTTATATCTCAATCATAAAGATTGTAAAATGCCAATTAATAAATAACAGAAAAACAATGAATAAATTATGATAATGAAAATTCCAAAATGCAAAAAACAATAAACGGAAATTCAAATTCTTGCATTATTTTGAGAAGTTTAAATTTCATTATTGAGAGGTAAATAAATTAAATAATTACCTTTTAAATTAAATTAATTTGCTCCTATTTCACTCATAATTATTTTTCTTTTTGTTTATGAAAGCAATCAAATCGTTTTTCAATAAATTTAAATTTTATCAAAAAAATGGTTTTTCAGAAATAATATGATCTAGTTTAAATAGATAAGATTTTGGTAACGGTATAATTATTCAAAATCCTTTTCTCAAACTACGGAATTTTACAATAATTTATAGTACATAGCAAAAATAGCATCAAAACCATTTTGTACTGTACATAGGTGCAGTGCTTATCGACGAAGCTAATCTTGTTTGTCACAAAGATTAAAAGACCAAAATACAACCACTTCTTTCAAGACGATCCCTTCGACTTCCTTTCATAACACAATATTGGAGTTAAAAATTTATAGTGCGAATTCTTTGGACACAAACAGTGACATGCCTGTATAAATATTTTCCTCGTGTCAAAAATATGTATATTAATTCCTCTCCAGAGCCAGCATTTAAATTTTGCCCATCTTACTTTATAACCGGTTCTTTGTTCGCATAATAAAAGCGCCGCCGGTCATAGAAAAATTATCAGATGCGTATTTTAGTGAGTCATCGCATCTAAATCATTTTCCTCAAAGTGAGCGTTGACCGCCAAGCATTTACGGTCAAACGTTTTACGACCGAATAAAACTGCGACAGATTTGAAAAAATAAAAATTAAAATGTTATCAAGTGTAGAAGAATTTTGAGTCGTAAAATTTAATAGCAAAATTAAGACTTATTAACTATCAGGTGTTTTATAATTGTTACGCAAATTCGCGCACATGTTTGTGACTCAATGTAAATAATTGTTTTACTATCGCGTGACAGGTAAGTATTATAGTTATAGACTGCAAATTTTCCTGGTCGGAGATTAATGGGATGAGGCGCGCATAGAAAATTATAGCATTGTGCTCTTGGCTACTGAATCGCGATCAAGCGTCCCACTTGGGAACTTGTGTAATTATAGGAGAGCGAGGAGATCCATAAATTTTGAATTATCAATCACGTGTGAGAGAGACGACCGACCATATATGCAGCAAATGAGACGAGTTGGATTTTTATTATCATTGCAAAAAACCGTTAAATCTCAAGGAATGGGATCAGGGCTGGAAATGCTAAACGTTAGTGGAAAAACTTTTCACAATCAAATAATGATTATTTTTATTTTTAGTGGTATTTTCATTAATTTTGTTGATATAAATATCTGGGCATTCTCTACCCAAATATTTCATTCATATATATTTTTTAAAAGTCTTTATGAAAGAAGGAATGTTAGAAGTGCAGTTTATTTTCTGTCACGTAATGTCCTCTAAGAGGGCCTTTATTACTTTAATTTTACAAATTATTTGATTAATAAAAATTAAATTATTTATATTTCCATAAATTTTTGTAAAAAAAATTCAAACTGATAATTTCATTTCAGATTTGTATTTTATCCGTGTTTCTGCGACGAAAATTGCCACGTGTTCAAAGACTGTTGCCACGACGAGCTGGAAAACTCGTCCAGCGCCAGATTCGAAGACGGCGACCGAATCTACGGACTGCCGTGGTCAGTATGGGGCTGCCAGAACTTCACCTCAATCAAGGTAAGACCCTATTGAGCTGCAACTTTCGCACAGCCTCCCGAGTTGATAAGGTGTTCGCCTTAATGAAGCAGAACTCAGCGTGGATGGTGAGTCGGTGCCCCGAGCACTCGGACCCTGAACTGGCGTCCCAGTGCGCGACGACGGCCCCAGACAGGACCTACATCCACGACCTGCCGGTGATCGCCGCCGGCGTCCTCTTCAAAAACATCTTCTGCGCCAGTTGCTTCGACATGACCTACAATGATCTCTACCCGCTCAACCTGGAAATGGCCTGCGAGGGCAAAAACGTCACAAGTGAAGATGTGAGTCAGTTAAAATGTTAAATCGAAATTCTCAATTTTTTTTCAATTCCCTCTAGATTTTGGCAATTTTTTGAAAAGAAAATTATCAGCAATTAAAGGCATTTACAGTAAAAAAATTTAATCGCATTTTTAGAGCAAATTTAATCGACTGTGGATATATATGCATACAAATATTATATTTTAATTAAAAAATTTAAAACTAAAATTTCTTATAATAGCCAGTTGTGTTTTTAAAGGTTTATTGGTTCATGATGTCAATTCTTGCGCAAGCAGAAATTTTAAATTTATTGTGTCTGATAATATAACAAAGAAAAGATTTATTTCTAGAATATAAATAATGATCATTTAAAAAAAGGGGAAAAATAGATTTTTCATTCCATTTAAATACCATAGCTATGAATGTTAAAAAAAAAACATTTTGGTTTTTGATCATTATGAATTTTAAATTCAAAATTTTAAAATCCAAAATTTTTAAACAAACATACTGATACTGTTTTTTATAGATTGAGCAAAATTGTATTTATATTTTCTTTTATACATAATTTCGTCTTGTTCTTAAACTAAAAAAATATCAAGTTTTCATTTATTCTTTTCTTTTTATCATTGCAGCTGATTGACGCAACCTACAAACCTGGTGAGCTGACGTTTCAACTATCGGACGAGTCAATTTGCAAATTAGAAATCAATCAATTCCACAACATGTCGGCGTTGAGTAAAGATTTGGTGCTCAACGGATTCCCACCGATCAGACAGTGTCGGCAGGTGATCGACTATTGTCCTGAAACCTGGAAGGATGCACAAGTGGCGGAAAAGTGCGCTGGCTACTGGATGATAGTGCAGGAATTGAACAGAAGAAGTATTAATTCGGTGAGTTAAATTTAACACTTAAGTATTAAATTAATTATATATTCATAAATTTTTCTGTACAGAAAGTTAATTATTATTAACTATAATTTAATTATATATAATAGTTAATATTTAAACACTTTATTTTTCAACATTATATCATTTGTAGTATTTTAGATTTTAGAAAACTGATTGATGTTTAATATAAGAAAAACTTTTATAATACGATTAAACATTTATTTAAATGGTTGTGCATATTATTATTTATATGATCGAATCAGGCAGACAGTTTTTTATTGGCAAGTCACTCAAAAGTGAATTTTTCAATTTTCACCCGTAGAACCAATAAATTTTACCAAATTGCTTATAACATGATACATTTAATACGATTGGATATAATTGCAGAGAACGTTTAAAAACCCGCACTGCGCCCTGTGCAACAACGCGACAGTGATGAATTGCGGCGCCCTGATGATGCGGACCCACACCTCTCCGACCTTCCGAGCACCCATCGGATCCCTCTCGCTGATTTTCCACTTCAGTTTCGGCGGCGGAAACGTCGTGGGTCGAGAGGCCTGTGCGAAGGGCTACGTTTGGGACAACGTGTATCAAAAGTGTCAACTGATCTACAGCTGCGAGTCAAAAAATTTCAAATCGGCCCTTTGTCCGAGCGACGAACTCAACGAAGAGGTGTCGGTCGACTTTCTCGGAAACTCGTCGACCCTGAACTGCAGCAAGGTGGTGCTGGAACAGGTCGACTACACCCTGATGCAAAACGGCTCTCTTTTCATCAACGCCACTCGAAAAATCGTCCACGCTGAGGACTTCATCCCCCTGAGTGATGAAAGGGTGGAAATTTGCGTCGACGAGGGGGATGAAATTCTTCCAATGGAAACCGGAGGCGAAACGTCCTTTTCGGAATGGCAGAGTTTGTTGACCCTGATCTGCACTGTCGTTTCGCTGATCGGCCTCTCGCTGCACATCCTCGTCCTGCTGGCCGTGCCCAAGTTGCGGAATTTGCCAGGGATGATTTCGATGGGCATCTCGGTTTCCCTGTTGATGGCGCAGCTGCTCTTCCTGATCGCCACCAGTCCGAGCAGACCTGCAGACTACGGGGGCTGCGTGGCCCTGGCGGCGATTCTCCACTTTTCGTTTCTCAGCGTTTTCGCGTGGACCGCCATCATGAGTTTTGACATCTGGAGGACCTTTTCGCACCCCACTGGACACATTCCGGGCAGGAAGTCGCAAACGTGGAGGGTGCAGTTCACCAAGTAAATAAATTATGCGTACATTTTCATTTATTTCATTCATAATTTTTAGAAAAATACATCAACAGTAAATATAATATAAATCTAGTTATCTTTTCTTGCTTTCATAAATTTTTATCAAATTCTTATTCAACTGTTTTGATTTGCATTTTTGGGCTTATTATGATTTATGGTACTAATTATATAAAAAAAAACATTTAATCACTCCTGAGAATTTGAATAAAAAATGATATCATTATTAATTTTTGTAGGTATTGCGTTTTTGCATCAGCAATACCCCTAGTCATCGTCGCAATAGCCATTGGCGTGGATCAATGCGGCCTAGAACTAGCCATGAGCCCACAGTACGGACTTTCAACGGCCTGCTGGTTTGGAAGTCGCCTCGGACTGGGCATTTTCTTTGCCCTGCCAGTCTCACTGATTCTAATTTTCAACCTATGTCTCTACACGCTGGTGGTTTTGCGCATCAAGGAACAGAAAAAGGCGACCAAATACATCGAAGAGCGACAAAGCAGCAGAAGAGCAAGGTATAAAATAAATCAAATTTTATTAAAAGTTTTGCAAAATATCTGCATAAATTTCTTAAAAAATATTGGATTTTGTTTTCATAAATGCTCGGGAAAGTATAATTAATTCTTTATAAAATTTATCCTGTAAAATTTAAAAAAAAAAATGATACAAACAGTTTATAAAAAAATTAAATTTTTATAGTTGCGCTGATGAATATTTTTTGTAAGTAACCCCCGAAGAGAAATATCAATTTAAATTTGAAGTTTTTTACTGTTCCAGATACACTGAAAACGACTGCAAGCTGCACTTCAGCATTTTCAACGTGATGGGCGGCACATGGATTTTGGGTCTGATCGCCGGCCTGGTGGACCATCCGATCCTGTGGACGATTTACATAATCATGAGTGGCTCACAGGGCGCCATCATCTTCGTTCTGCAGATCATGAAGCGGCGAGTGCTGCACATGATTCGCAACAGACTGGCCGGAAAGGAGGACACGGTCACCAACACCAGCGGGTCAGGCAGCAGGACCACCAGCGCCCTCCTCAACCGCAGTTCCGAGAGGTCGTCCGGCAACAACACTTTTATCGAGGGACCCATCCTCATGAAGAGCAGAGTAGAATAAAGTTTCGTGAGTTGTGATGGCATTTATTGATTTTTAAAATCTAGTTTATTTTAAAGATTTTGGCAGTAAAAGGTGAACTTCCAACAAACGCCTTTTTTCAGAGTATTTTAGTATAATTAAATGATAAAAAATCATTGCTAGCGAGAACTTAAGAAATCACTCCACAAATCACTTCAAAATAATAATTTTTTGTAATGAAAGATTTTGAACAAGGTCCCTTGCGTCTCATCCATCAATTGTGGTCAGTTTCTCTCCACGCAAAATCAGACAGTCCATGTTGCGGTTTGATGGCATTTTATCAAAATCTCTTCTTTCGCTCTTTTCAGGCCGCTGGAGGTTTCAGGCTTGACGAGAATCAAAAGACGCATTTCGCTCCTCGCCGGCAGATTCAAAACAGCGATAGCTAAGTTTAAGTGGTTCTAGTCAAAACAGGCCTATTATTAGCCCTATTGTCGGCGGAGAAAGAAGAGAACAGCTCCAAATAAAGCACCGTGGGTCATCATTAGACCGAATAAAATATAAAAATGCGATCTAACGGGAACCCTAATCCCACGCATTTAGCTATCCCCTGCAAAAACTGAACTTTGTCTCTCTCTTTTTTATTGAAAACTGAGAGCGTTAATAAATGTGTCTAATTATCAAATGACGAAGCATGAATATTTATTATTGCGATGTATGAGAATTCGATCCGCCGCCCTATTCGTTTTCATCAATATTGATTAGGCATGTGCGCCTCTGGGTCGCGCGCTCAGATTACTAATAATTCTTTATATAAAGAGTGTACTAGGGCCGCTTCTTCTTCAGTAGTATTTCTGTATGATGTGCGTGCATTTGATTACATGTAATTCACAGTCTAATGTGTATAGGCTGAGCTGCGTTTTAATTGCAACTGGCGAGAAGGTGTAGTGATGTAAAATATGAATACATAATCAAGATATAGCATAAATTAAATGTTGCATTCAAGAAAAAATCATTCTTGTCTTTTTCTCCTTAATTCCAAAATTCCCAATCCCAAGATTAAACTGGATACAAACAAAATTTTTATCATAAATGGAAAAGAATTTTGTCAGAAAAATTAAAATTTTAATCTTATGAATATTATTTACTATTTTTCAAAAAAAAGCCTAGTTTTAAAATTTTGAAATTATGTATCATTAACATAATCAATATGTATGTTAGAAGTAATTTAATTCAAATGAAAGTAATTTAAACGTACCAGATGTATTCTATATAGATTATATATTTCACTTCTCAGTGATTGAAATTAATTTTGCGATATCAAAGGCGATGTTCAGCAGACTGCAACAAAAGCGCATCATCTCTCAACATTGTAAACTGAGCATTTATTATTCACTTATTTTGCCTCCGAGCTGTGCACGCAATTTGAATTATTGCGGTAATTTGATTTTCATATCACAGCCTCCGTCTCGCATTTTCTTTCCGTTGTGTCTCAAGTGAGAGAGAATCACCCTCGGGTCACAAACCGATGAACAACAACACACTCGCGGTGCAATAAATAAATTTGCATGCGTGCCGCTGTTATAAAGTAATACACGTTTGAAGATCCACTTCACTCGCCTATTAATCATAGGCGTATTATAGATAAAATTAATCATATTACTTCAAGCGTGCCGAGTACAATATAGCTGACCTCTCGCGCGACAAATGCATAAGACGTCTAGCGGAATTCAGGTTTGTGTAAATCAACTCTATGTGAAGTGCTGCTGAGAAGAACGAGTTTTAATCTCTCTATAATGAATAGTTTAAGTTTCTCTAACTCATTTCTCCTTTCACACTTCACTTAGCACCTGTCTTTTCCTTCCTCCAACAAAGTTGTTCCAAATCAAATTTGCAGCTGTTAAAATTGCCAAAATTCCATAACAATAGGGTTCTTGTGTGTACAAAATATTTTAGTAATGATAATATCGGATAATATCGTGTTCAGCCCAAATATAACAAGTTTAAGGCGTTTGTGTATTTCAAAATGATTTAGTCGAGGAATTTTTTCACTTAATGCTCTCTGCAGCAGAAGATTTGTCTTGTTTTCATGTAGTTCTTGCCTAGCCAATTTTATTTTTGCGTATTAATTTGTTTTAATTATTTGACAAGTAGAGACAATTAAGACAACTCTATGAACAAATAGCAAAACATTTTGATTTTTATTTATGTAATTCATTAAATCAATTTTTGAATCTCTTTGTTGATTTTTCGAATTGTTATTTCATACGTTTTTCTTATCTGACAAAAAAATTATTTTCGTTTCTTCCGTTTCTTCAAATTGCAAGCAATAGTTTTCAAACCGAAAATCAGAACACATGTAACAAAGCAAGCTTAAAAGAATTTATGACCAAGACTTTGTATGTATGCGATACATCAAGGCTTGACCATTTTTCTCTTTAAAAAATTTCAGTGAATTCAAATGGAACAAAAGCATGTTTGTCTACGTTGACAAGCAATTATTTCCATTTTAGAATTTATCTCTCCTGAGGGAAACAACTCAATTAACCGAGAAGGTCAACAGCCGCATAAATTCACACAAGCGTCCAACTTCAATACGAGCGATTCACTTTTATATATATTTTCGTCCAATTACAGTCAACGCGAATAAATATGGATATTTGCCGGCCGTCAAGTGGGAAAGCGAAATAATAAATTGTGTTTACGCTTGAGTGGCACGCAAATCGCACTCTGAAATTAATTTCATCTGCATTTGAATGCTCCTTAGTATGCAAATTAATAAAATTCATCCTCGGGATGAACGCACTACTTGGCCAGCAGCGAAAGGATTGTTTTGAAAATAATTACTTAAAATTTGGATTGTTTTGCGCAAGGACGCGAAGAACAGGCGCTACTTGACATTGAGTGAAAATGAGACCTCGTGTTCGCCGCCGGCTCAAAAGTGTCCGAAGCGTTAAAACCGGAGTAAAACCGTGGTGGTTGCATCACATGATAATTTTGAATAAATCAGTTGCTGAGAGTAAAAAAAAAAAATGTTTTGGAAGTATTAAGGTCCTGCCGTGGATTTTTACTAACAAAAACGTTTTTATATAATATTGGGTATAAATTTTTTATGGCTTTTTTATCAATATAGAGGAAAAATTAATAAAATGTTTCACTTTGAGAAAAGATTGCACAGATTATTACTATATTATGCAGGGTCTGCATCATATATTTTCTAGCCTGATTATTTCTGCTTAGTTAATTTGCCTGGGCTAGGTAAAACTTTTTCTTCAACTTTTTGTTTATTAGCCTTTTGCTAATAATCAGACATCATGAGTCGTCGTGCTCGTTATGGCAAAATTAAAAAACTCAAACTCGCTCAGCAAGAAATCCCTGCACGCCCGACTGATTGCCTAACTGACAGGGTGCATTCTTTCTTTTTTTTTAAGCGATGATTTTCCTCCTCTTTCTCCCATCGTCTCTGCGAACACAAAGTAATTATCTGGAAGATTAATTACCCACGAGTACACTGCAACTCTTCACAACACGAATTTGCCATATCGGGCGCCCGTGTTTTAAATAATTATTTCCAACTGCACTCCAGCAGTGCTCGATGCAATTCATCATCTTAAGTTTAATCCAGGGAAATATCATATTCCATTTGCGGCTTCTGCCGATCAAAGGGGACGTCAAATGAGACCAGTTTCGCAATTGCAACAGATTATTAATTTCAACATATCTTTTAATTATCAGTTGAAAATGACACTTTTAACAATTGTACAAATTTATTTTTTTCCTGATTGGGAAGATTTCCTTGCAAAATTTCTTGGTGCAGGAAATTCCAAGTCATTTTCTGCGGAGGAAAATTGTTTCGAGTGGATGATATTTTAATGTATAAAATATTAACGTAATTTGTAAAGCAAGTCAAACTGTATCAGTTGCCTGCCAGCATTTTATCAAAATGAGCCTCTGAGCTCTTTGTAATGCTCACTAAATTAATGGAAATGTTAAGAAAATTAATATCATTTTACATTTGTCTATCAGCAAAATTAAAAATAACATTATTTAAAAAAAAAATAAAAATATGGTTTACATACAATATAGAAAAGTGCAAGTTGAATAAATGTAATATAATAAGGGTTATTAAAAATTTTTAAATTAAATTATATTTTGTTTTAAATTATTTTTTATTTTTCATTATATTTTCTAACTACTAATGGAATGCATTGGTATTTTAATTGCCTTCCTCGCTACAACAGCAACTATTTAATGACCACAACAAACTCTCAAATGGAAATCACTCAAGATCAAATAAAAATATATATTATGCACTTCATTAAACGAACACCGCACTGATTTACTACATCTGCGTGCGATCGCTGGAGATTTGCTGCATCGCCTTGTAAAAATAATTTCCTTTACAATGAACAATAAAACGCGATGAACTTGACCCGCCATAAAATTAGCGCCGGCGTGTCACGAGCAACGTTGAGGCAGGTTACGAACTTCTCTTTATTTTTACGACCACCGACGGGCTTTTTCAACTTTTTCATATTAAATAAATTCTTGATTATATCAAATCGGAGATCTGTAACACGGTGTGTGGCAAAAGTTTATTACGTGTTAAACACACCACAAGAAGTGAAATTATGCCAATAAAATTCGCGTGCAGACACACATTAAAGGGCGTGTTGCGCATCTCTTTTTTTAATTGTATTCAGCAATTGTTTTCTGCGCGGAAAATGCACATTTTATTTCTTTATGGTGTAGCGCGATGATGTTTGGTGATAAATTAATAAATCTTTGCATCTCTGTCCGTGGAAAAAATAAAGCGGCAATAAAATTTGCATTTTGTCGGTGGCGTGAAACAATGACGGATATTGTATTCTTTTAGATGCAAATTTTCGTCAGAGGTGCCGAAAGAGACGCAAATGTATAAATTTCAATTTTAACAAGCTGCGCGTGGGCGCCGCTTTTTGTTCTCTGTATTGCCTCAGGCGGGTTTGTCTTTTTTGTTTTCGGCGCGCACGATTGGTTTTGAAATAGGAGACTGGCCATTTGTGTCTCAAACGAGTGACTCCTTATTTTGGTCCCCTGGGAACTTAATTGGGCAATAAACTGCTTCTTTTTCAGCTTCTTTCACAGCAAAGATGTCCTTTCAGCTTCATTGCAGCTTTATAAAAAAAAAAAAAAATTATTCAGCAAACTTAAAATGAAATTGTTTTAAAAGAAGTAATACCAAAATTTATTTAAGTGTGGGAAATACAAAATATATTTAAAAAATTTCAATCGATTAAAATATGAAATAAAAACTACAATATAAAACGTTTTGAACATCTCTTCAACATAATTTTCTTTATATAATAAATATCTTTGCTTGGTACTAACGGATTTTGTTTACAAAAATTTTCATTGATTATGATTAGTAACTAAATGAAGCTTATAAATACCGTTCATGCACATAATGAACTTTGGCATTTGCTGGGCGAGGTATATACGCATTTTGTAACATCAGTACACGTCGAATTCGTTTAAAGCTCACGGTGTCGCGAATTAAGAGATGAAATTTGCCAAGCCGAAAACACTGAGCACGCTTCGCAGGCGTGTCAGAAAAATTTGCATATCTGAATTAGTTAAGAAGTCCATTTGAATCCTGCTTAAGGCTGCTCTCCGTAGCTGTAAATCATGAAAATCGCAAATCGCTCGCATGATTTCTTGCTTTTTTTCCTCAACAGAGGCCAAGATCAAGGCCACCTTTTTCTTTTACGACTCTAATTTGTCCACTGAACTCTGCCATTAAAATCTAATTACCTTTGTATAAAATTAGAACGAGGAAGTCCTGCCGTAAAAAAATTAATCGTTTGATCTCCGATGTATGAATTCTGGGCTCGGGCCAATTCGTGACAGAAATTAATTTGCTGCGCCAAACATAAGCATCGCTGTTGACGCCTCTCTCGTCGATGCGGTGAATCTCCGTGTAATTTAATTCAGTTAACTTTAATTCCTGGAGCCTGGTGGTCCAAACAACGTGT